TTACATATATAAATTGCACTTTCTAGTATCTTCAAATTTGAGAAGAATAAATTAGATAATTTTCTTTTAAATTTTAACTTTCTTTTATATAATCGTCTAAGAATTTAATTCAAACCAAGTCACTCATATCTAATTAAAAGGTTGTAAATTTGAACTTCTACCCCACATGTTATATTGAAACAAAAAATAAAAAGAGTCTAGAAAGTAATTCTCTCTTTCAAGCTTACTTTTTTTTATCCGGTCAAATTGAAAGATTCCAACCTCTTATATTTATTTGTTTTTTAGTACAAATTTATTGGTTCAATAATATTGTAGGTTTTGAGGTTGATTTTGTATTTATAGTATAATATATTTTTTTTAAAGAAATGTATGATACTACAAACCGAACTATCCAGTGCCAAAATGACTCATATATATTGTGTAGTATAATGTCTCTTTCAGAAAATAAAAGTATATTTAGTTGAGGTGTTTAGTGATATATTTTATAATTGTGTGTAAAAAAAAAGTTGTCCTAATTAGATAGACACCAACTATGTACTTAATTTTAAATTGTATGTAAAAGAAAGTTGTCAAATTTAAAATAATTTATCCACATGATTAGACAGACACCAGCTATGATTTTGTTTTCTCAAAGGACAATATTATTAAATAACAAAAGCAACACGTTGATTCTACATTTTTATATTTTGGCCATCGGTCTCTTTTTATTTTCCCGAATAGGCCTATTGTTTTTTCTTTATTGGTAATTTGCTTTTAGATTTTATCTAAAAATATCACATATTAACAAATATATTGTCTTTTACTCATTAGAGGATAAATAGTTGGAAAATAAAATTATTATATGATAAATAGTTAGAATTCATGGATGGTGGATCATACAATTCATTGTTCTTTATTAAAAATGAAGAAAAAAAAACAGAAAATATTACTGAATGAGCCTTTATCATTTAATTTATTCCTTCTTCGCTATGTCCTAAAAAATTTAATTAGTGAAGATTGAAAATGTTACCTACTTTTTTCAAATGTTAAGGGTTGAGATGACCTAAACAAAAAAAAAAAAAAAACTAATAATAGATAACCTAATACGTGTCAAAAAAAACCATTGGAAACTCCAACCTGAAAAACTGTCAAACACTTCATTCAACTACACTATCAAACAACCAAAATGACATCCAACCAACATTAAAATATCTAAATTCAAAAAAATTAAATACTCAAAACTGTTGAAGAAAGGAGAGAGAGAGAGAGAGAGAGAGAGAGAGAGAGAGAGAGAGAGAGAGAGAGAGAAACCGACACCCAACACCCACAACTCCATCATAGCCAACCTAGCAACTCAATTAAATTAAGGATAAATATTAATTATATAATTTATTTACATCTTACAGTTTAAATTCCTACGAGTAGCCCAACAAGTAGCAACGTAAGATAATGCACCCTATTATCGAAGATCGGTGATGAATCATACTATCAAATAAATAATGGATCCTTTTTTATAATATAACAAAAATTTCAATTTTATTTTTTTAAGAATATATAAATTAAATTCCAAAAATGTACTTGATAAAGGGTGTGGTGTGGGGCCAGCGGTACATATTTAGGAAAGTGGCTGCAACTGTTCGATGAGGGTGTCGGCCACTTGCAGATATTTTTGGCTAGAATCAATGCCCACGACAGCCACCCATCCCCCAGTGGGTGGTTCAACGCACTCCCCGATCACGTGATTTTCACCACCTCTCCATTTTTCTCACTTCAATATCCCCTCACCAAACTCCATGCGAAAGCCGTAAATATCGTTAATTCAACGATAATTGATATATATTTCTAAATGAAAATGTGTGACTTTAATAAGTCATTACCATATATTATTTACAACTATTTATCAAACAATTTATCAAATATCTTTTATAAAAGATCCTATTTCATTTTGTATTAATATTCTTGAGTTTATTAAAAAAAATAATAATAATTTGGATTGCATTAGATGGTCCAACTCATTCGTTCAAACTTCTGGACTCTTATGCTTTATTAACATTCACGGGAGTTTATCTCAAAACTAACTGACAATGAGAGAAGTAATTTATTTGTATTATAAAGTCTTATTATGTTTCTTATTGTTTTAATCTGGGATCTTTAACGTTTTGTTTAATTATATGTTTTTTTGTGTGGAAATAACTCAATATTTATCTAATAGGCCACAATGCTAGTGATGTGAACGGCATCCAATTGTGTTTCGAACAAACACAAAAAAACTGACTTTTGTGGTTCAAAAACTAAATAAATATAAATTTGGATATAGTTTAATAGTTAATGATTCATGTATATTTTTTAAAGTTGAAGGTTTAATCCCGACCAAATATTGATTTAAATAAAAATAAACATAACCTCAATTGTTTAAGGCTAAAATTGTAATTTTAACTTATAATATTAAATTTTTTATGTATTAAACACACTAGCAACTTTATAGAAATATGACGTTTGATTACCAAACAATTTTTGTAGAAAATTCATAAACCAAAACAATTAAGTATTAATTTAAGGCACATAAAGCTAAAAAATCGTTTTAATTAAATAGAAAATTGATTTTCCCCTTAATCGGCTTAGAAGAGCTCTACACCTAAAAGTATCTTTATCAATATTTTCAAACATCTCATTATCGAAATATTAGATTTTCTTTTTTATTTGGATTCAACGATGATTGAAATTTCTAACCTTTTGATTAGACCATTTAATGGTTAGTATAAAGTGACATGTCTCAAATTCAATTATTAGTATAAAGTGACCTGTATCAAATTCAATTATAGATGGTCAACATGAAGGAGTTTATCTAATTTTCTTAGGGCACCATAAAAAAACCATCAGTCAAAATACAGCCTGTGAAAATCCTTCCCTTCCACACCATTCTCAAAACTAAATAAGTTACTATTTTCCTTTTTTCCTTTTATGGCTTATTAAACAGCAGAAAAAGATTCTCAATGTGTGAATTTTTTAATTATTTGTTTCTTTTTCTGAAAAAATCCCATTAGTTGACCCCACCACAAGATTTTCTACCTTTAGAAAATATTCCCATTTCATTTTTTTAAGGTTAAGTGGGCATCCACGTCATCACCAATTTGGAGATTTTCTAGAAAAGTGCACAATCAATCACTTGATTATTGCGTTCCCAAAATCGTCCTTTTTTGGGCAAAATCCAACTCACCACCTTCTTGATTGCATCCTTTACACCACATCTTTGGGTACCCTACGTCTCCCAACCCCCCTATTAGTTATTACGTTATTGTAAAAGATATTTTATTTTAAATACATTTGAACACTCCAAATTTATTTTATTTGACTCCATCCTTTTTAAGGAAATAATAATCTTGGTTGATGGAGAAATTTGCATGATGTATTTCCGTCAAATTCGCACCAATATCTAGAATAAAAATGATCGATAAAACTTGCAAAATCAAGTAGCAGTATAGACCAGTGTGACATCAGTGTAGCTGACTTTACAACTGATGTCATCTCTTTCCCTGAGGTGAAGACCTATACAGGCTCCGATGCTTAAGTTAGAATCAGAGTAGTTGTGTATGGAGAGTAGGGTATTTCAGCCTACCCCTAAAATTTGGTTTACCCTCCTATTTATAGAAATCGAATCCTAATACCTTTAATAAGTACATAAGTCCAGAAGATATGGACTTGCGTTTCGTAGTGGGCCCAATGTCGGATCGAGGATTGAGACAAGATAGGATCAGATCGAGGTGCACAAAGGTTGAGGAGAACCGTTACAGCTCTCGGCCAGGGGTCGAGAACTGCTCAGTGCCAACCTCTGGTCGGCTGGGGCCGACCCAGGTCGCCGGGTGTTGACTTCTTCTCCTAGTTCGTGCCCTGTTTCGACTCCCCTTCCGCCTTCTGTCTCTCAGCTGCCTGCCATTTTATCTTCCCAGAACAATCTTCGTGCTTCTTTGTTATTAAGTTGTTACTTGTATTCCTCGCTATACTTAAAATGAATATCAAATTTCAAGATTTTTTTTTTTATATATATGCGAGTGTTTGGACCCATTTGCACGTACATCGACTAATCTTGCATAACAATTATTTAATCCTACTACATTTAATCATACCTATAAAATTAATAATTAAGTGGGTAGCTATCATGGAGTTGGAACCAATTCCTCCAAATCATTTTGATTTACACCGGTCTATTTTGACTAATAAGATTGAATTTTAAACCTTATATTCATGTTATGATAAGAACCCAAGCTTATGTCTGAAATGCTTTTTAGTATTTTATAATATAATAATTTTCCCTCTGATTCTAGAAAAGAAATCTAGTATAAGTCTTCACATATATACCAATTATTTAGTTGGCACTTATAAACTTTACTACTATAATGTTTTGTTTCTTTTCTTGCAAGTGGCTTCGTATCAAATCCGCATTCCGTCCTTCACAAAAAGAGGGAAGAAAAAACCATATTCTGGATATTCTAATCCCAATTGTTTGTCTGACCTTGACCAAAAGGAAACATGGAGTTCAAATTACTAAAATACCCTCCCCCGATCTAAACGCAAATTTTAATATATATATATTTTTCCCCCACCAATAATTACACGCGGCCCCAGTTTGAGGCAGCTGAGCCGAGCCACCGAAAAGTAGCCAACATCCAACAATTTAAACAAAAACGGAACCGTCATTGACCCGGATAGCGGGCCCCACTCTCGCGGACTTGTACATGGAATTGAAATGAATTAATTTCCTCTTTTGAAAAAAAAATAAAATTTCTGAACAGAAACCGGACCAGTTATGAAAATGAAAAGGAGGTGGGTAGAATTTTCCGTAGGAAGCAATTTTTCTTTTTCGGGGGAAGAAAAACAAAACAAAATAAAATAAATAAAGGCAAAGCAGTCTGTGATTAGCCTAGCCCCTAGGTATGCGCTCCCACGCGCCTGCGTCACATCATTATCCACGCGCCGTATCTCCTCTCTCTGCTTTGCCCCCCTTATATAAATCCCCAGCCCTCATTTCCCCCAAAATTGTCTCACGTTCTTCTCCGCGTCTGAACTTCACAAAGAAAAAACCCTACGCCTCTCTCTCTCTTGTTTTAATTGCCGCGCCATTTCTTTTCTTTATGGAGAATCAAAATACGAAGAAGCGGGAGCGAGTCGACTCGGACGCCGGTTCACCAGAGGTGAAGCGACTCAGAGACGACCTCCTTGGTTTCTTCGACGAGTCAGATCCTGAGCCGGCGACTCAGGACCTCGACTCTTTGATGAGGAGTTTCGAGGAAGAAATCGCCACCGCCCCGTCTTCCACGGTGCCGGTGGTTGATTTGACGTTGGATCCCGGCGAGTCTCAGCCGGAGTTAGGTTATCTTTTGGAAGCCTCCGACGACGAGCTTGGCCTGCCGCCTTCGTCTAGTTCTATTACTTCAAATAGCCAGGAGTTGGACGAACCGGCCGAGTTGGTTCGATTATCGACTGACTCGTCTGAAATCGGCGATTTATGGAGGTTTGAGAATCAGATCCCGAACTATGACGCTTTCGAACTGGAAGCCAGGGATGTGTACAGCGGCGATTCGGCCGAAGCCGAGTATGTGGCTTTCGATGGCCTCTTCGAGTACGCGAATCTATGTTTCGATGCGTCGGATAACTTGGACTTTCTTTGGCGGCAAGAATCTCTGCCGGCGCAGTAGGTAGAAACGTCGCCGATCTGTAAATTTTCATTTAGATTTATTGAAGATGAAGATGGAAGGAACTGTAGGACTAGACTGATGCAGCGCCGCTGATGAATATAGAAATTGGTTCGTTTTTTTTTTCTTTTGAATACACAGGACTGCAATTACACATAATTTTATACAGTGGAATTATGACTCGTCGCCAGAATCTAAATCTGTGATCTGAGTGGTTTGGAAGAAATTTAATTTTAGTTCTTCTGGACTGGAAAGCGGAAACGATTTGGAACCTTGAAAATATATTTTTCGATGCCCTAAACATAAGATTCTCCGTCGAGCGATTTATGTGGGGATTTAAAAAAGAAAAAAAAAAAGACGAATGAAGGCGTGTGGCACCCAACGTTTTTACTTTTACGGGAGGAGTTAAATATAGCCAATCCCCTCCCAAACCTACTGTACTGACAAAAATATATAATCAAATACTAATCTATAATTTTTTTAATGGTGGGATTTCGAATTAACTGAAAATATATGTTTGAATATAATTCAGCGTTAATTTACAATATAATTTAGCGTTTAAATTTATTTTTAAAAGAATAATAATTAAAAACTTATCAAAAAGTAATGCTTTAAAAATTCTTCCATCTCCAACAAGAGACAACGTGCATATGTGACATTGCTTTTTTTTTTTCTCCCTTAAATTATATATCTTTAAACTTAGGCTCAATTTAACAAAAATGTAAGGTTGGGTTCTAACATGATTTGTTGCAAAAGATAAAGTCTCAATATTTCTATATATATATATATATATAAATGGGTTAATTTTTTATAAAAAAAGGGTTAATTTTGTATAAATATATTTTTTTTTCTTTTTCTCCTTTTTAGACGGATGGTTATGAGATAAAACCAAACACTAAAACAAGTGGGCTGTGAGAAAATGTACCTGCATTGATTTGAAGCCCACTGCTGCGGTCCAACGGATTTTGGTCCAGTTTCAACTCAAAACATATTCGTCCAACGCGTCGCTATTCTGAAAAGATAAAATAACAACCATCCTAACACAACTCATTTGACTAAATACAACGTGTTTATAATATTTTAAAGAAAATTGGTTGTTCTGAAAACGTGAGATTAATATGATTGATATATGATTTATAATATTTTAAACCACTCCCTCGACCCAAACGTTTAAGTTGATGGATTAGGTAAATTTAATTGAATATATATATATATATATATATATGTTTTTTTTAGGACAACAAGTGGAGGCGGGAGATCGAAATCATAGCTTCACAGTTTGAGATAATATCCACTTAAACTTTTGGGTTGAGTTGTATTCGAACTCCTGCACTGTGAAAACAAAACAAAAAGTTGATGAACATTTTTTTTATTGGTGACAAATTTAATAGGTATTTTAGAAAATGTAGTGACATATCATTTTTAAAAAAATAACATTAATTTGACTTTTCCGGTAGTTTAACTTATTTTTAATTTGAAATATGCTATTTCTTAAAATTTTCAAACACCATTATATTTTAAAAGAAATATTTATTTTATGCCATTTGAGTTGAAAAGAGTAAGATAGAAAGCATGTAAAATAGTTAGTAGCAAACAAGAATAACAAAAATCTTAACAAAAGCTTAACAAAATAACTAAATCTACACAAACAAATAACAACTCACAATACTCATAATATACCTAATTATCTAACAAATTATTAATGTGGTCTTTTGATCTTGATTTATTAATTAAAAAATATATATAACAAATTTTAATAATTTACTTTAAAATTCTTCAACAAGTGTAGCCGGAAAATCTTGCAAGTAAAAACAACATTTACGAATGAATGAATTAATTCTCAAACTCATTTGGGTATTAGTTATCAATTAAAACAAGTTTTACGAATGAATTAATTTGAAAAAAAAGTTGAATTTAAAATCCCTCTAGATTCCGAATCAAAAAACCCATAAATTAAATTACAATTCTCAAACCCATTTGGAAAAATAGGAAAAAATATTAAAAAGAAAAAAAAAAGAAGAGAAATTAATAAAATTGGTAGTACCAATTTTGTGAAATTAATATATCCAACGAATCAAGCGGTGATATCAGACTACAGAAATGCACAGTTCGAAGTCGAAGGCCACGTCGGATACAAAATGGAAAATCTACTCATGCTTCCAGCTTTCATCACCAACCCATAACCCCAACCTTCAAACACACGCTCTCTCACGCGCTCCCTTCAAGTATAATTTTCGCAGAGCGTTTGTTACAATCGCCGTGAAGCGCGTGATCATGAATTATACCCCTATTATATAAAAACACGGAATTCTGATCCAATCCTTCTTGCTCTCTTTACTTGCGCTTTCGGTTACCGTCCTTCGAAGGCTTTGCTCCCTCTAGGGTATAAGAATAACCCGGCGTCGGAACCGCTGCTCCGGTCTTGCATCTTCGCGAAGGCAGCGATCGAGTTCGGAAGATGAAGATTTTTGTCAAGACTCTCAAGGGCTCGCACTTCGAAATCGAAGTTCAGCCTCAAGATACGGTCAGTTTACTTCATCGGTGTTAGTTTTCCTTTTCCATTTAAATCGTTCGCATTAGGACTGTTACTCGGAATCTAGGATTTTCAGCTAGATTTTGGATTCGGGTGTGTGTTACTTCCAATTGAAGTGTAATTAGGGTTTATGCGGTGGCAGTTCGTTGTTTTCTTTGTTGAATTGCTGATTGCTGTACCGATCAAATTGTATTGTAGTTTGTAATTTGCATCTTGTTCATCGTGGTTATTATACTACTTGTGTATTCGATTTATGTTTCATTTGTTGTTTTTTTTATAGTAAAGCATTAAGTCCTTTTTTCTTCTGTGTTATATCCGTTATTTGTAGCTACAGGAGGTTTGGACTGTTATGCGTTGTCATTAATATTAAGTTGCGTAGTTAATGTAATACTTGCGTGCCTACTAATTCAATCTTATAGCTGACTTTACAACTGATGTCATCTCTTCCCCTGGGGTGGAGACCTAGACCACAGCTGATCTCGGTGATCATATTTTGTGTACGTAGTTGTGCATGATATATTCAATTCAAAACGATAAGTAAGACAAAGAAGGTTGGGTTCAAGATGGATTGAATAAATACGGAAGATAAACTTTGTGTGGATAAGAACAATCTCATTAGTAACCCAAATAGTCTGTCAAGGAAAGGACGGATAAGGCATCAAGTCCCTCCAAGTTTGAAGAAAATTAGAAAACAACCACAATTTTTTTTTAAACAAATTGTTGAATTCACTTCTAGGCTACTAACCTACTGTTCCTAGAAGTCTAAATTGAGTATAAATATACTGTCCTTGTAGTCTTTTAAGTTACAGATGGGTCCCTTATAAGACGACGAATTCATTTCATATCGTGATCTTCATATGAAATTGGTATTCTAATTGATTTCAATAGTCTCTAATGATTCTGTCTTGTCTATAGAGCCAAGAACTCATATTACCTACCCTCTTGTGAAGCTCAAAATCATGATTGAAATTGTCCACGATCATATCAAGTTGACTTTAGTCCATCAGAACCAAGCCAATGCATGCTAGATAAATTGAAGATAGCTCCCTCCATCTTCGCCTTCTTAGTCTTTCGAGTAATCATAGAATATTTGTTCAACTTGAAAATTTATACCATGTGGGTTCTTTGTATTAAACATTGGAAACTCCAACTTCTCATATATTGAGTCTTTTGGTTTATTCACCTCCCAAATTGTTTCACTGTTCTTCCGTATTATCCTCGAACTTGATCAAGGAGTTGTTCCACCTTTTCTAGTACTTCTGACACCTATGGTCGGGTAATTGTTGACTTTGGCCTATCAAGTCCTTTTGGTTTATATACCTTTGAAATGTTATTTTCCATGATGTGAATCTTTTGCAGTTTCTCCTGTACATTGCCAAATCCGTGTTGCTTGTCTACCACCTTTTCCCATTGTGATACTAATTTTGTGTATATAATAAATTGCAAATGTCCTGAACTCCTGGATAAGACTTTATAGAGTAAAATTCAAAATTTTTAAAAATATTTATATAATTAAATTGAGTCTTTTAACCCAACCTGACCAATATCAACATAGTAGAATGATACGACTTTGAATGTGCCAGAATCACATTGTAAAGTCAAGGGCAATAGATAAGCAAACACCACTAACAACTAAACTATTCAAGAACATCATGACATTAGTGCTTCAAAATTTGGGTATGACTGCAGTAGTCATGCTGCTTGCCGTTATCAAACATCTGCAAGGTACCTATTAAGTAAATTTTCACATTAATAATTATCACTGTTGTTGACACCTTCATTTGCTACAAGATTTTTCAAACACAAGAAGTTTATACCAACTTTTGATATATTTTTAGAACACATGGTTATATTCTAACTTCCTTCATCTGTTGTGACACCATGTTTATATTTCAATTTTGCACTAGCTTTTCAACACAATCCTATTATGGTTTACCTTCTGATATTTGAGTGTGATATAAACTGATTTTTGTTGGTTTGCAGGTTGCTGCTGTGAAGAACAACATACAGACTGTTCAGGGTGCCGATGTTTACCCTGCTTCACAACAGATGCTAATCCATCAAGGAAAAGTCCTTAAAGATGGCACAACACTGGATGAAAATAAAGTTGCAGAAAATAGTTTTATTGTAATAATGTTAACAAAGGTAACGAGGTTAATTCATTTTAAATGTTTTGTATCTGTTTGGAAGGAGTGTATAAAAAACATATTCTTGGGAGATAAAAGGCATACATAGATGATATTATTATTACTAAAAAATAAAAGCTTGATTTCTTCTTTTTAAATGAAAAGAGAGATTTAGCGAGTGATAAAAAATTAGATTACCATGTGCCACATCATCAGGGACATCTCGGAAGCCCCTACCCTGCAGGCTTGCACTTTCATTTGTATTTTAGGATTCTGCATTAGTGGGGGTTATAGGCTGAACCACACTAAAGTTTTATAGTTCAATCAGTCAACGATGTTGGAGATTGTGGAATTGCACTCAGATATGTGTTTTCTGTTGTCAATTGAGGTTGGCTTTAACAAGAGCTTTTGCATTAGCTGCTATGAAGTTCTGTAGCACTGTTACTCTGTTTTGTTCTTGAACTTATATTAACTGACAAAAAAACTTGATATGTTTAGTTGTGGCTTTTACTGATTAGTTAAAGTGTGAACCCTTCTTATTTTTATCTTCATTATCTTTTTTCTCTGTTTTGTACTGCTCAAATGATTTTTTTTTTACTTCCCATTTGTTTGTAGAATAAAAGTTCATCGGGTGGGGCATCTTCGGCCACACAAGCTGCTCCAGTGTCGAAGGTAAGGAATTCTACTGGCCTTTGGTAATGGTGGTGGTATTCTCAGCGAGTCTTTGAATGTTATAAATGTTGTCATTCACTTTTTTCCCGGTGGATTTCATTTTTTTTCTTTTTTCCATTGAATTTGTTGAATACTAATATCAAATTCTAGCATAAGCATGTCGATACTTAAGTTTTGTTGTTTTCACTTTTTTTAAGTTCTTTTTGTAACTTTATATAGTTATACCTGTCCTGGTAATTTTCACATGATTGAATAAATTTATCAAATACTCTAGGTTAATTTTAATTAGGTGTTTTTTCCATTCATTATTATTGCTTCAAATTGTGGGTGCATACATTTTTCTTACAATATTTAAATTATTGACGCATGATTTTTTATTTGTTCATCATACTGATGTACCAGAAATAGTTCTACATGTGATTATCTCTAAATAATTATATAGAAACCACGCATGATAATATTTGGTGTTTCCTTGCCAATCTCCTTTGGAGTAATTGAAGTGTTCGATTATTGTGGTTAGGATTGTCCCCGTAGTATTGTTCATTTTCTACTAATTTCTTGAGAAAATGGAATTAAAATAAAATTGGAGATATAGTATGATAATGACCTCCTCCATGCAGGCACCACAGAACACTGCCCCTGCACCCGCTGCTACCCCAATGTCAACATCTGAAGTTCCTCTGGCAACCTCAGCACCGTGAGTTTAGACTTTATTGCTTTGTCTTTCACTATATTTTTCCCGAACAGTTATTTTGGAGCATTTACGATTGCGACAATTATCTTTCATTTTTCAGGCCTGCTACTATTATTGACTCTTCTCCTCCCGCTCCCGCTCCCGCCCCCACTCCTGCTCCCACTGTATTGTGAGAAATACTGCCCTTCCCGTGGTGCTTTTATATATTCAATAATTCTAGGGTTTCTTTGCTTTATTTTTAGACTTCAAGTTCTCTAAACCTCCTCAATAACACTTTGTAAAAAACAGGCCAGAATCTGATGTCTACAGCCAAGCAGCTTCTAACCTGGTTGCTGGTAGTAACTTGGAGGAGACTATCCAACAGATTCTTCTCATGGGTGGAGGGACTTGGGATAGGGACACTGTTGTCCGAGCTCTTCGTGCTGCTTTCAATAATCCAGAAAGGGCTGTTGATTACCTTTATTCTGTAAGTCTATTTGCAGGTGTTTATATTTGTTCTGTTCTACCATTATTCTCGTCTCACACTGTGTTTTAGTAGGTCTATTTTAAGGTTTTCCTTCACCTTGATGTTCCTGTTTGGTGAATGAAATGATGAATGGTCATACTTTTATCTTCGCAAGTTTAGTTTTTTTATAATGTATTATTTGAACAAAATATCTCATGCACAGGGCATACCTGAACAAACTGAAGTTCCTCCTGCTGCTCAAATTCCTTCTACTGTTCAAGCGACAAACCCTTCTGCTCAACCAGCCCAACCTGCATCTGTGCCACCAACTGGTCCAAATGCTAATCCATTAGATCTCTTTCCCCAGGTAAGGAAAAGAAAAATTAAGTGACTCTATTGATTCCTTATAGGCTTACAAGTTTGGTTGGAAAAGGAAAGATCGGGCAATTTGATAGGTTGTTTTCAAACTTGCAAGTTGATGGATCTATATTTTTACCTCAGGGTGTGCCTAATTTAGCTTCTGGAGCTGTTGGTTCTGGCAGTCTTGATTTTCTACGTAATAGTCCTCAGGTCCTCTCTCTCCCTCTCCCTCTCCCTCTCTCGACATACAAACCGACCCATTCACATCATGTATTGCCTGCCTCTGAAAATATATTCTTTCCCATCTCAGTTCCAAGCTTTGCGAGCAATGGTGCGAGCCAACCCTCAGATTCTGCAGGTTCTTCATCTACTGCATGACAAGATATTCTCGCTTCTTTCTTTTTGTATGCGAGGTTCACTACTTCATTTTATACAAGGTTTCTTTTCCTTGATTTGTTTCAGCCCATGCTTCAAGAGTTGGGTAAACAAAATCCTCAGCTGATAAGGCTTATTCAAGATCATCAACCTGACTTCCTTCGCTTGATTAATGAGCCCCTTGAAGGGGAAGGGTAAATCATTTTCCCCCACTTATAACTCTGAAATGATAGTTGGAGCTTATGGATTAATATCTAAAAACTTGTTCAGGAATATACTTGGGCAGCTTGCTGATGCTATGCCGCAGGCTATAACCGTAACCCCAGAGGAGCGTGAAGCCATTCAACGGGTTAGTTCACCCTTTTCATTATTATATGAGGAAACTGTTTGAAGAGAACTCAGTAGGATATAAGACCCGTGTGTTTTCATTTAATTAGAGATAAAAACAATTGAACTCATCTAGTTTCATAATCGATCCTTTATAATTTGTTTTTGGTCCTGTTTATTGTTTACCATATTTGGGATATCTGTCTTTCTTCCCAACAGCTCGAGGAGTTGGGTTTCGACAGAGCTCTTGTAGTTGAGGTTTTCTTCGCCTGCAACAAGAACGAGGAAATGGCTGCCAACTATCTTTTAGATCATATTCATGAATTTGAGGGTAATCAGAATTAGTCCATTTCTCCTGCCGATTTTAATAATTCCCAAAAAGGAAAAAAAAAAGAGAAAAAAAAAGAAAGAAGACAGGCAATCCAATCCAACAAACAAGAAGAATCTGTATTTATTCGTTGTGCCCCTTTCTGCTGTGTACTGTGAATTATGCGTGTTGTGAACATAGATGTGAAGATGCGTTTATCTTTTTTTTTTTTATCTTTTTTTTTTAAAAAATTCGCAACTCATACTTCGAGCCCTTCTGTCAATGTTATAAGTATACTTTATTTGATTACCATTTTTTTTCCTTTGTGGTATCCTATTTCTTCGCCTATTTTTGTTAGGCACTTCTAAGGGAAGATGGGCACCAAATTTCATGCAGATTTTCTACCCATATAGATTCAACAAACGCCATTGATTTGTTATGGAAGTTCGAAATGCTTACAATAGTAGCAATGCTTATAGGATTATTGAAAATTGAAATTTTAAGGTTTGTTGTGGTTGAAAAATCAATGGATTATGTCCTCAAATTTATACGTAGAATATCTTTCTTCTCTTTGTCCTTTTTTCTTTTTCTTTATCATTTTTTTTTCTTTTTTGCAAAAGTTAGATTGTCAATTTTATAAATATAGTGTAGTACGTAATGCGTATTAGAATGGATCTCCTTGAAAATTTCAGAACTTTCTTTTTGATAATATTTTACTTTATAAAATATAGAAATTTCTTTTTATTTTGTATCTCTCTTTTCTACTCATCAAAACAAAAATTTAATATTTGTCACCAAAGAGAGGCTCCTATTCATAATAAATATATGTTTAAAATTTTGGTAATGTGATCCGGTCGATGTCATCATTAGTTCTAGAATTTAGAAATTCTTTCCATCCCAGTTGATTTTTCCTCCGAGAATGCAACTGAACTGACAGCGAGAGCGACAGGATTCAAATTTAGAATAAGAAAGAAGGAGAAACAGAAACGATTATATTTACGGGTCGAGATTTGTTTAAAGAATAATTTGGGTAACTGAAAAGTGGAAGGAAAGAATAATTTTGTTTATGGCAGTGGGACGTGTCGCTGATTTACAAGGCCCTTGAAAATTGAAATGGCGCGAAAGTAGTGGCACGCCTTCATAGACATAGACCGTACCACGACTTTCTCTCTCCGCTTTTCAAAATTTACAATTTCTGTTTGACAAACCGCATCCGTAGCGAACTTGCCAACTTCCCAATCCCACAATCACGATGCAGAAATAAAACGGAACGTTCCTTCAAATCTCCCGTTTCAGTGGTAGAAAAATCAAATAGCCGAAGAAGAAGCAGAAGAGGTCAGAATACTTGCAAATTTCACACAGGTCTCCCGTTACTTTCTTGATTGCTGTTGAATTTCCGATGATTTGGTGAGGATTATTATGTATAATGGTGGTGGTGATTGTGGCGGTGGACTTTGTGCGCGAATAGTGATGGCGTCGTCGAGCCCTCTCACCGCCATTGCCGACTCCTTCGAAGGGCTTGCGAAATTGGTAGGTTCGTTGAAGGAACCCTCTCAAGAACTCCGATTGGATGCGCTCTGCGACGCTTGCTCTCTCGTCTCTGTACTCTTCGGTTCCCTCGGCCTCGCCTTCAAATTCGCCGAGTTAGAGTACGTCTCCAAGGTCATATTTCTCTTTTCTTCCTCTTCTCCTTCCTTTCTCTTCGTTAATATCAAACAAGATGAAGGATCGATCTTAGGAATCGAATCATAAAACATTATATAAACTGCAATCCATCCAATTTAGTATTGGAGTTTGTGTCATTTTCTCCCCATATTGTATTGATGGTCATTGTTGAGCCCTAATTGTGTACTAATTTCCAATTCTGTGGATGAAGAGGAATGCTGCTTTAAGCGTTTGGTTTTAGTCCCGATTTGACAGGTTTTTTTGGCAAGCTAATGCCATTGATGGATTTTGCAGGTGCGTGATCTTGCGGAAGCGTCGAAGAAGCACGAGACGCTGCACAAAATACTTGATGATGATATTGCAAACGACACAGTGAAAACACCTGGAAGCCATACGCGGAATCTGCGTCGAGTCAGACAAGGTCTGGACCTCGTTAGAGCTCTGTTTCAACAGTTCATGTCCACCGAGTAAGTTCTCTGTTCCTTCCATTTCTCCAACTTTTAATACAGAAACAGCAGTTTACTGATAGATGATAGATGTAGATCTGCCTGCAATTTCTTCTGCTGGTTGGTTTGGTTGTGTTCATTTCGAATCTGATGTGCCTTTATCAAAAACTTGTTGCATATTTCTTCTTCATGAAATCATCAATTATGAGAGGAACTTTCTTGCCCTTTTCCGAGAAAATTGCTTTTGTGGACTACTGAAAGTCTGGAAAGTATTTTCTGATTCTTGGGTCGTCTTTGACTCTTTGGCTTGTTCTCCAATTATTTTTCTATCAAACTATCGGAAGCATGCTAAGAATATGTATCAAAGATTAAATATATTATAACTTGTCAGTTTCATAAGCATAGTTGAAATAGTATCCTATTTGAGTCAATGGTTTGAATTCTTCCCCTCTTTTATTATGTAATATTTTCGACTACAAATTGTCATTTACATGGTATAAGAGCATTCGATTCAATGTTCAAATTCTACTGTTTAACATTTTTGTTTCTAGTTTCCAAATTTTTAGAAAACAAGTGTTTGATTATTGTTTTTCTTACTGGTTTCTTGTTTTGAAGAAACATTTTAAAAATCATGTAGAAATTTTGAAAACAACCGATTTCTACATAAAATATTTTGAAAATAATTCTCGCTTTTGTTTCCAGGTTTTTTTTTTCCCAAAGATAGATAAAAGCATTATTTTATATTTTTATTTTAAAATGCATAATAAAAAAAATTAACACAAAATTTTAAATATTTAATTTGAAAGTTAGATTTCATATAAAACTTGTATTTTTTTTAATCTAAAATTTTAAAGAAGAGAAACAAATAAATTATTAACAAACATATCCGTGTCTCTTTTTCCAATAGAAATAGAAAGAATAAATTAAAAAGGAGGAAACCAGAAGCAATAAAACATGAAATGAAAAACAAGACAAGAATGTTACTAAACGTGCCCTACATTGTCATTTATTCGTTGTTAGATCTCTAGGATGGTAAATAAGACGAAGGCAAAAACTTCTTTGAAAATTGATTAGGGGTGAGATTACTTACTTCTCGTTTGTGTTATTCTTTTAGTGATTACTCGTTAAGGGAAGCTGCTTCAACAGCTTATACACAAGTTTGTGCGCCCTACCACACCTGGACAGTCAGAACAGCAGTTTCTGCTGGAATGTATACTCTTCCAACAAGGGAGCAGCTTCTGCTAAAGCTCAACGAGACCAGTATGCTCATTTTATATACTCTTCCCAATTATAAGTAGTCAATTTTGTTGTAGTTTGTACTGCCAAATTTACAGCACTTCTTTCCCCCACTTCAGATCAGTCAGCAGAGAAGAAAATGAAAAGGTATATCGATGCCTCGTCTCCGGTTATAGAATATATCGACAAGCTTTACATTTCTAGGAAAATCAGCTTGGACTGGTGACTTTCACCTCCTCCTTTCGACATCCAGATTCTGCTCCAATCTTGTCTGAGTAGCAGGTCATTTCAACAGAGTTAGTAACACAGAAAGAAGCTCTCCATGGATGCTTTCGAATATATTACAACATAAACTTAACAGTTCCATGACAGTTTCTTTGTAATCCTCATTATGTTTAGTGTATATATTTGAATTCATAACATATATCAGATTGTATCTGAGTATAACTGATGAATCATGGTGATGATTCGAGTAAAAATCAAAAGGGAAACATGGTGAATATTTTGTCAATGGAAAGGCATGATTTCAACATAAACCATTGTGATTATTGAACAAGTCATAGGAAGCACTATGTCAAACATGAAAACAGAAGCACAGGTTTGAAGGGTAAAAGTTATTTAAGAAACTTGAGTTCCTTTGGGAAACCCTTGAATGACAAACCAACACAAACTCTGTCTTAAATAAAATACCTTCGTCAATTGAATGAGACCATCCCTTTTCATCCACAGAGTTTCTACTAATACATTTCCCGTACGCAATAACTTGGAAACAAAAATCAGCTCATTATTGCTCTTCAAATCTTTTAGAAATAGAACTAAATTAAGTGTAACAAATAAAAGTATCGGTGGGACCTCCTGCACAAAAAGGATTCCTCTGGGACTCTGTTTAACTTAAACTTTCATCATTCCGCAGCCGAAAGAAAGATTCTGTTTTTCCCTTCTTCTTGCAGTCAAGTCTTAACCAATGTTCAAACTTGCAACGTGAAGACTTCTACAAGGTCAGGCTTTCTGGATTCTCAACTATCTTTGCGAAGGTCTGAAGGAAGGCAGCCAGCTCAGCACCGTAAACTATTCGGTGATCAGCAGTCACATTCACCTGCAAAATGCAGAATTTGGCAGTCAGTTCAGGTTCACAGAAGCGTGTATAGACTAGAAAGGATATCTGCTACTGCGAGCATTCACTAGACAAGAATTTGTTGCACATAATCACACCAAAAGAAAAAACTATGGAATGAACATCAAGAATTGAAGAAGACTTATACAAGAAACTGCTACCAGAAGTAAAGAAATAGTTAACCAACCTCTGCATTGTGGAGATAGTATGAAACAACGTAAAGTATGTAACTGCCCCTAGTAATTTTCGGAGAGACAAGTTTGACTACTAGGTTTCCACCGTTTAAGTTTACCTTCTTTCAGGTCTTGTGGTGACAAGTGACATAAAATCAGGATATTTTAATCTAGCTTGGAGAAATTTGACGATTCAAGAAGCTTTTGCCTCTATAACATGAAAGTGCAATTTTTGGAAATAAAGGAGTGGATGGTTGTGGTTACATGGGTTTAGGGGAAAGAGTGTAGGATGTCAACCATCACACATTGGCCCGGCAGGTTACCCACCTTAGGTCCTTGGTTGATCAACCAACATAAAATAATATGTCCAGTGGCTTCAAAACCGTCGAACCGAACCTAGCAATTACAAACAGAATGATAATAGGACTAAACACCAATGACCCTTCCACCAGGTTTGGTTCCATCTAAAGGAAATAAGCAGTGCTGTCAATCCTAAGTGGTAAAGGTTAGATATCTAATCTCGAGCAAGTTTGTTTTCGTCCAAGATACAACGCCCAATTCGAATCTTGAAATGGGCAAACCAGTAGATATCCTCCAAAGGCTCGCCTCAATGGAAAGAACCAATCCTTCAACCAACTTGGTGCACCCACTTGGGTCACAAGCCTGTGTTACCAAGCTCATCCTAATCTCGAGCAACTTACAGTCAAGAGGATCAAAATTATTGTTCACAAGGGCAATAATACCCGTTTTTTAGGAAGACCTATAAAAAGGTAAAGTGGCTTTCTCCTCTCGTTTTCCTGGACTCAACTTTCTTGGCAAAGGAAAATACTTCATAGCCAGTGCCAGATTCCCTCTTCCGGCTGAGACCTTGACTTCAGAAGCAATCTCAACGATCAAGAAGAACAGGATTAATTAAACTTTTTGAAGATTATAAATGACTTATACTAGGGCACTACTGGTGTGACTTGACCTCTTGGATAAGGCGCAAGTACAGATCTGACTTCTTCCCTACCAAACCTCTCAGCGGTGATCCCAAAAAGGCTCCTCCCTCTCTTCATAGCTTTACTAACAATTGCATCTGGAATATAGAATGCCCCCTAAAAAATAAAGGTTCTCATTTGGGAGCTTGTTCTTGGTGATATCAACACTTGAGAAAAATTCCAAGCCAGAATTCCTAACACTGCTTTTTCTCCAAGTTGGGGTACTAAAAAATTTAATCCAACTTCGAATCCAAAAGATTTTAATCTAACTCGGCACACTTGATTGATCTATAACACTTAATTTGATATTAGATAACAAATAGGAACAAATCAAAATCACATCATACAAATCTCATTCCTTTCCTACCAACCAAACACTTATCTTTCATTATCGAGCAAATAAACTTATTCCTGTGTAATTCCAATATGGGCATTCCTTTTCAGAATTTTTTGTCTTATAGACCTTCACAAAGCTTAACCCGAACACCCCTTAAATTAGATAAGTTTCAAGATGCCAATGGCTCATGAATACAGTTTAATGTAATTCAAACGGATTATTGGCTCTAATCAGTTCTTCTAGTGATTAAAGACTGAAAAGTAACATACCTTAGAAATTTAGCATCAATATTAAAGGGGGGTGAATATGATACAAGATTCAGAAGAAACAGAACTCACCAACATTTTACTCTTCACGCTGAAAAAGCCATCGGCGTCAGTGACAACAGTTGGTTTCGATGCTCCAACGGCCATGATGGCCCCCTGCCATGGTTCGGAAAATTCAACCACTAACGTAAAGAAACAAAAGGACCAGAAAAAAATGTTGCCCGGGCATAAGCCTAATTCTCACTACTCACCTGGCCAGGAGGAAGTATAGCATCAAACCTGTCCACTCCAAACATGCCCAGATTGGAGAGCGTGAAAGTTCCTACAGGCATTATAATTCAATTTTATTACCCTCAAGACCCAAGGATTAAGTACTACAATAAATGCATTCAAATGCTCCCAGAAGCACTGCATTCAAACAAAAAGAGAAGGAAGTGTTGGAACCTGAATTGTATTCATGCGGCTGAAGCTGCTTGGCTCTAGCTTTCTCGACCAACTCTTTCCATTTTTGAGACAGAAGGTAGAGGTCCAACTGCATTGAAGAATAAATAAATAACAAGATACCAACAAAAGCAATATCTACAATGTGTTACGGTATATCAAACCATATCATTCTATAATGTTATCAACTTGCCTTATCTGCATCCTGAAGAACAGGCGTTATCAACCCACCATTGATAGCCACGGCTACTGCAATATTTACATTGTCGTTATATGTAAAGCTCTTCCCGTCTTTACAGCTTGCATTTACAACCGAATGCTGAGCGAGGGCCATTGCAGCAGCCTTGGCCAAGAGGGCAGTCATTGTGACGCCCTTTGGTTTCACCTGAAATTGTTGCAATTGCCCATCTAATAGGTCAAGACGAGTATAAAAGAAGGCACAAAATCCTTCTAAATTGTAAAACATGCTCAAATGTACCTTCTCATAGAGCGCATCAAGAGCATCAGTGGTCACCGGATAACCAACTCGGAATGTAGGAACGGAGAGGCTTTCCACCATGTTCTTAGACACCACCGCCTGCATCGTCGTGAATGGCACAACCGTTGAGCCTGGAACTGGGGGTGGCAAGTTGGAAGGAGCTGCAGCAGTTTTAGATGGGGCAGCGGTAGTCACTGGAGCCACAGGTGAAGAAGCTACATTGCTTACAACAGGCTTCGAAGGGACAATTCCTGCTGCGGCCTCCACATCAGCCGGAGTAATCCGACCGAATGGTCCAGTACCAGTTATCGATGCAATATCCACCTTGTGCTGTTTCGCTAACTTCTTCGCCTGAGGAGTCGCCACAATCTTCCCCGGTCCATCTGACACTGGCTTGGGCGGCGGAGGCGATGGCTGAGAAATTGCGGGAGCAGGACTGGAAGTGGGAGGCGGAGGAGAGGGAGAAATAACAGCAGGAGCCGGAGAAGAAGCGGATTTAGATGCGGCTTTGGCCTTGGCCTCGGCGACTTCCTCTTCAGTCTCGGCCAATAAACCAATCGGAGCTCCAACAGGAGCAGTTTCGCCCTCTCCAACAACGATGGCGGCGAGAATTCCATCATAGAAAGTCTCCACATCCATGTCGGCTTTATCAGACTCCACGACAACGACGCTCTCGCCTTTGGAGAGGACGTCCCCTTCGGATTTGACCCACGAAACGATCTTGCCCTCAGTCATGGTGGAACTGAGTGCGGGCATGAAAATCTCACGGATCTTAGATTGGACGACTGGGATCCTCCGGCGGGATTTAGCGGGAAACGAGGTGTATGAGCGAGAGGAGTTCCATGGGAGGACAGGAGAGACGGAGGAAGAGAAGGAAAATGAAGCAGTGGTATTGCTGGAAAGAGCAACGCGAGAGAGGAACGGGGAAGCCATTGGAGAAAGGAAGAGGATCTGTTAGAGAGAAACAGTGAAGAAAATGGCAGAGAAGTATAATAAAGGAGGGCGGAGACGACGAGGCGTTCGTTGGAGGATTTGAGCTACCTCAACTGTGTTTCCATCGCTTACATTTTGGCACTGTTCTTTTCTTTTTCTTTTTCTTTTTCTTTTTCTTTTTCTTTTTTTCTCTTAATCTTTATTCTCTAGAAGTCGTAGCAGAGCATAATAAAAACGATGAGAAAATTTACCCGTTTGTATTAATTTTCATACTAAACTTTCGATGGATGGATCGGTGTAGCAAATATTTATTTAAAACTTCAAGTGGTGTTATAACTTTTTACCTTTTAATATACTAACTTTTGTGAAAAAAAAAATATATGTTATGGCATTTAATATATTATAAATCGATTAATATGAAATAATTGAACTTTTTTCACCAAAGTAGAGATGAAGATTCAACTTTCCATCTGTTGAAAAATAGTAAGTTGCTAAGTTAAGTTTATATTAATCCTAAAAAAATAATTTTCTTGAAATTTGTGGGTGTCTAGAGATTTTTTTTTGTGATCATCGTGCATTAACCTAATTTAATTTCGAGATATTTTTACCTTAAAAAAATTAGCTAAAACTGAACTAAGGTAACAATTTTCAGATGAAAATCGATTTATTTGGGTAACTTTTTTCTCCCAAACAATTCATAACTTTTAGATATAAATAAAAATGACCAGTACTAAAGAGACATCCAGCTGTTGTCGATTCGGCTGTCGTCGTTCTCTCTCTCGAACTTGGGAGCGAGATAGGTATAATAGGGCCTACCCTACCTTACTTTCAGAACTTGGACTTTGCCACGTGTATTTCATTTGACACTGGGCTTAAATTTTGGCCCACATACTCGTATTTGGGCCCGAATCTATAATGGGACGTACCCTTGATGGATTTGTGCTTTTTGACAGATTATCCATCACAATATCTGTAACCTAAGTTTAGAACAACAGTAAAATGTTTGAAACTGAAAAATGGAAGACCAAGCCAAAAATAGTGAAAATAAGTGGTAGTTGGAAATATGAATTACAATGCAATAATTTTTGCACCCCCAAAAAATATGCAACTCGGAAATACTATTCCTTTTAATTTTAAACGTAGTGCAGATTCATGAGACAATTTCTGCCTTTTTTTTTTTTATAAGAAATATCCCGTGCTTAAAAAATTGAGGGAAAAAAAGACGAATGAAATAAAATCCATAATTGCATGAGAATAAAGTTTGTTGTTCTGTTTTTGTAACAGTCTACTGGCAAAGCGACACCGCGGCACGGACTTAGTCGACATATCGCTAAAATATTAATAATCCGGACTCCTGTCCTGTCCACGTTCTTTTTTTATTGGTTTATTTCGGTTGTTTGCTCCAGTAGAACAGAACGTTTCATTCATGAGTACATAGGAATAGTTTGTGGCCCATTTCGGTAACTAATTACCATGCTTCTATTTTCCTTTTTTGATATATTTATTTCGTCTCTAAAATTTGTCCTATTTTCTTATCTAATTTAACTATATTTTGATCATTCAAATTCTATTAGGCTTCACTTTCAACTAAGAAACTTAAAATTAAAAGATACAAAACTTTAGAAGCTAAGAGATCTTAGTTTGTAAGTTGGTCTCTATGAATATTTTATATTTTTAGATATCAAATATATTTAAATAATTGTTCTTTCGAATATTAGTATTTCTTAATCTATTATCATATATTATTCATTTTTGTAATTAAACAATTGTGTGACTTAACAAGTAAATTAAGATAAAATAAAATATTAACTTTATTTAGGTAACTTTCACAATTGATCTAGATCCAAAGTCTTCGCCAAGTAAGCTGCTATTTGGAGGTCAAGTTTTTCGATGTAATTTTTAAAAAAAGGTAGCTTTATAAGACGGCCAAAATAGGTCCTATAATCCAAGAACTACAAATTAGTTTCTTAGGCCCTAGGATCCAAGAACTACAAGGTTGAAACTATATACATGGGTAGGAATGTAATTTTCTTGTTTGTTGGTAGTGGAGCGCCCATGATTAATATCACAATCCACGTCACTACCCATCAAAGCTTTAGTTACAAGCTAATTAAACAAAGATAAGAAGAAAAAGGCCGATACGGCGCCGTATCGTGAAATGTTGGAGCCGTTGGGAGCTTGGCGTGGGCTCTGCTGTCGTTTACCCCGTAGCAGCTTTCCTATTTCCCCTGTGCTGTACGACGTCGTTATCTCCATCGGACACCATTCGCCCCGAGTCGCAGTCGTGTGGGAAAGATGCGACATCAAGAAAATTTGCAAAGTGAGAAAGGCGGTGTTTGGTCACACAAGCAACCTTAATTATTCTTACGAGAAAAAAGTATTCAAGTCATAATCCTGTTACGGTATAATTCAATAATAAATGACATTTACACGTCAAAAATTAAAATGTGGAGATAGATTCTTCTCAAATATTGTCGAAATAAGTTTATCACTATCTTAACTTTGACTTGTCTAATTTTTCATGAGCAGTAGGCGTTACGGTAAACGTGTTGAATTTAAGGACAATTATCTTCATTCGTATAAGAATTTTTTGGTAAAACCAAAAGTAAAGTTAAAATTATAATGTAGATAATATCATACCATTATAAAATTACTTCATATATTTGTACGGCTCAACAATGCAAAGTTAAGTGTCTTTTGTCGAGATAACTGTATCACTATTTTAACTGTAGCCTTCCCAATTCCGCGAGGGAAGCAGCTGTCATTGTGAAACAAACCATCTTTGTCAACTCTTTCTCATCATCATTTCACTCTCACGGCTCACCTCCTTTAGACTTTTACTTACCGTCCATTATCTCCCCTTCCCCCTTTCTCCCAACCACTAAAACCTTTCAGTTTTCACAGCCATCATCCATGGCAGACGGGATATAAATCGTCTTAAACAAATTCAGACGCAGAAGATGAAATCATCCCACTTTTTGGTTGCCCTTCGTCTTTGATCGGCGGCGGCGGCTATGGCGGAGCGGGCAAAAAAGAAGGCGGCGGTGATCGGAGTTCGGAAGCCAAGGATTTTCCCCCATGCTTCTAGCCTTGCCTCCATCGAATCCTTATCTCTGCCTCTTGTCTCTGCTCTCTCTCTCTCTCTCTCTCTCTCTCTCTCTCTCTCTCTAGCATTTATTTTGAAGTCTCGTGACTGAAATTAATTGATTTTTTGTTATGGTCCATGCTCTGATTTCCAGGTCCAGGAAATCGTCTTGACAGCCGATATTCGATGCCCTGAATGCCAAAACAAATTGGCGAATATACTCTCCAAAATTAACGGTGAGTTTCTGTTTTGGGGATTTTTTTGGTCTCTGCCTCTGGGGAATTTGATTCCATCCTTCAATTTTAATGGTAACAAATTTCCCTTCCCTGGTTCATACCACAATAAGAAAATTTTCCATTAATACTTAATAGAATTGGTTATTTTTTTTGGGTAATGCACGGAAAAGGGTAGTTTGTTAACTAAACAAGGTTATTGAAATTAAATTGATGCCAAACTTGTTCTGATTCGAGCACTTTTTGTTTGGGTACAGATACAGAGTCTGTGGTGGTGAATTTGTTGGAGAAGAAAGTGATATTAACTCGAAGATTGCAAGTTCCGTCCACGTGCAGCAATTCTTCGAGTAAAGTTGCAACAATCAAGAGATTGCTTGGTTCATCCTTCAGATAACTGCGAAATATTGTGAAGATATTGCGATACATAAAGGAATATTTCCATTACATAAAGATAAACGACCACGCTGTTTGTTTAATTTGTTGTTTAGCTTCAAAGAAAATGTTCAGATCCATTGCCTTTTTTTTTTTTTTTTCAAGTGGAATGAATATATGCCTTTCTTTTTAGATGCGATCGTAGTACTTCAAAAGATGATTTTTGTCCGAGTTTAGCACAGTTTGAAGGGTTGTTTTAGCTGGAAACATGGTTTTGGCACTTTTTTTTTTTTTTCTTTTTTGAAGAATTCTGCTTTGTCGGTTTGTATCAGTTTTTTGTGTTTGTATTTTGAGAAGTTTTATTATAACAATTGTATATTTGTTAAGTCTCTGCAATAATTTCATCGTCTGAAGGTGGAATTAGTTTTGATTAAAATTTGAGATAATGTAGCCAATCGACTTCTTTCAATATGCTACAGCTAGTGTATATGGGTTGGTTTTGGGCTAAAATATGTCTCCATTCACTTCTGAAGAAAAATATTGATTGTTGAGGGTAAAAACCAATCGACGAGGCAGGGTCTAATCCTAGCTCGAAGGGGATGAAGTTGTAGCTCATCCCCTTTTTGGATAGAGTGGGGTTGATGGGGGTATTGGTTGATAGTCAGCAAATATGTGATTCGGTGCATCGTAATATTATGAACACTAGAGACCACTCCCCTAAAATGTAGGAATCAAATCCCTATCATAAAGGTACGCAATACCTTTCACCCAATATTTAACTATATTTTATTAACTATTTCGAACTAAGCATCGACTTAAGTTTTTAAGTTTTGAATTGTATTAGACAAAACACCACACGGATGTTGAGTTAGATATGGCATGATAACCGCATGTGAATGAGAGATCACATCAATAAACTGGATTTCAGCAACCACATAAATTAATATAAAAATAAAATTTTGTTTGCAAAAAGTTGAATGTATCACTAAATTATTATCCTATCAAAATATTTCACATATTATAACATTCCACTTGAATTTACTAGAAACATGAAGCTCAATTTATGGAATTAAAACAGGTCCAAACATATTATAGAAGATGTCTAGGAAGGAAAAATACCTAATTATAATTAGAAGCTTCGTTCGAGTTTTATATATATATATATATATATATATATAATAAAATAAAAAATATATGGTGCTGGGAAAAAAGGAAAACAGGTCCAAACATACCAACAAACTAATAATTTAACCACACATTAATTTATCATATCCCTAAAAGTATTTGTAAGTGATTTGTCATATCCATTTAAACAGTATTGTAAATAAGTTACCATATCCCTTCCAAAACTAAAATTTATTTTGGATTTGATATATTGCCTATGAAATTGAAGTTTTATTATGGATTTGATAAATATTTTGCTAATTGATATTATGGTTATTTGTAAAAATATTTGAAGCATGTTTTGTATGAAATGATAAAGCCTTGTTTGAAATTATTTAAAACTTTGAATTTGATATTTTGCTTATTTATGAAATATTATTTGAAATTATGTTTGGTATGATTTAATAAAGTTTGTTTTGAATGAATCAAATATTGTTTTGAATCATTAAAAATTGAATGAATGGAGGTTTGTTTTGATTGACCGGAAATTTTATCTTAAGACTTTGTTTATGAAAATCTAGTTTATTTTGAAAGTTTTGAAAATTGTACTAAATATTTTAGGTTTTCTATACCGTTTTCAGAATATTTCCAGTAAATTATTAATTGTTTTATGGAAAATTCTTTGAAGTTTTAGAGTACTGGTATGAATTTGAAAGTAATCTTAGAAGCTTCTGTTGAATAATTTTAGTTCTTAAAAGTTTATTGAAAACTACGTTCCTGCATTATTGTTAGTCTGATTGTATTGGAAAATTCGGATTGTTACAGAATTTATAATTTTACAAAAGTTACGTAATCAAGTCAAGTAGGAATGTAATGTAAACTACACTAATAAAGCTCTATTGAAAAAGAAAAAAAAAAAGAAAGAAAAAATGCGACATTTTTTAAGATACAATATGGAGTAGGGTTTTACATAATTATTAATCCCAGTAATAATTTTCTAAAAAAAAAAACAGTTAACAATTTAGATGTAACAGAGCAAAATAAATTTGTTTGCGTGTTTGCCTTTGCAAAAAAATAAAATTGTTTATAATTTAAAATACGCGTAGGATCCGATCCGATCGGATCGGAGATTCCCCGGTTTGATCGGGGACGAGGTCAAATTGGGGATCTCAATCGGGTTCCCTGACGGTCCCCGTCCCGTCCCCATCCCGACCCTGTCCCGTTTAATTTTTTATTACTTTTTCTATTTTTTATATAATAATAGTAATATATATTAATTTTATAAATACTTTCTAATTAAAAAAAAACTCAAACTAACCTCTCATTTAACAAGTTTTTTTTTTCACTTTTTATACTAATAATAACAAAAATCAATTTAAAAATTAAAAAATTAAATTAAAAAATTTTAAAAATATATTTATAACGAAGACCCACGAAGAACCCGTATTCTATTGGGGAATCAAGTCCCGTTCCCGCCCTCAAAACTTCTCGGACGAGGATGGGGATGGGAAAAAAAATCCCCAACTGAACGGGGATTGGGATGGGAAAAAAACTCCTCGCCCGCTGCCATCCCTACACTAGGGCAATACTTTTAAAAGTACAGTTAGCCAGTAAAAAAAGAAGGGTACAATTAGCAAATTTAAATTAAATTATATATTGAAGTACGAGACATAAAAATAATGATTTAAATTAATTTAAAATGTAATATTTTTATTCTCTATATTTATTTTTACTCTTTAAAGGAGAGCTAGTTGAGTTTTATTTATTTATATAATTTTAAAAATTTTATACACTCTCTATCTATATATTTTATTCCATCAATTTATTAAAATAAAAACAATATCTACATTTTGAACTTAAAACATACATAAGCAATACAAAGTGTTATTAAAATATCAATCAATACAAAAAATGTTTTTGGTTTTTTTTTATTTATAACTAAACTAACTGATATTATAAAAACAACTTTTTAAACAAAACATAAAATTGCTATAAATACATTGGTGCACATCAAATTTTGTTAGTAGGCTAAGCATATAGTTTATTGATTTATTAAATTATCGTTACAAAAGCATATTTTTTGTCCTAGACTTCAGCTACATATCGATATTATTTATGAAAATGGGCCAGAAAATAAAAATCGGTAAAATAATAAAAAAATCTATTATAATTCACACCAGATTCTTATGAACCGTTTATTTTTTCCGAAAATGTGGATGTCCAACATCTGTATGCTTGAAATTTCAGATGTTTGAAATTTTAGATGTATGACATATTTTGATAGTCATGTTTGTTTGGTAGAAAATTTGTTAATATGTTCGATAATATTTGGATAGTCACATTTGTCTTGAATGATTTATTTTTTGGATGTATTAAATTTATAGAAGTTTTAAAAAATGTCCAAATATTCATTTAATATAATAGAATTATTTGTATTAATTCAATATTTTTAATTAATTTTTATATGTTACGTGGAACAAAATTAATTCATATTAATTTAGTATAAATTTTATTTTAAGCTTAATACAATTAAAGTTATTTTTTATGAAATTTATTTATCTTTATCATCATATTATGTATTTTTAAGATGAACAAATTTCACATGCATGTTTGTAAATAAAAAATGTTGTTTTAAAATTATATATTTATGATAATAAATATATTAATAATATAATCGATTCAAAGTTTAAAATTACGTGAAAGAAAAAAAGATATAAATATTGGATGTTAAAAAATCTTAAAAACTTGTGTTTCGACGTCCAAAACTCATTAAATATCTCATATATGGGAGTCTTAGGATCTCCAAATATATTAAGATGGTTAAGTATCCTATAAACAATAAAATCAAGATACCTAATGAAAATTTTGGATTACCACGAAATAAACGTCCCGTACATTATACGGGTTTATCACTCTGCGCCATAGTCCGAACCGTAGTACGTAACTCCGGTTACCGGTCGATGTAAAATTCGTATAATGGACATTATTTAAATAAAATAACAATAGAATAATCATCGTATAGCGGAGGCCACAACTCTCTCTTGCGACGCTCTGTTCTCTGAAGGCCTAAAACGCGTGCACAGCGGAAAGGGTGAGAGAGAAACCCTAGATTTCTTGCGACGTCAATGGCCAACGACACTGCTCACCGGAAGCACCGCCGATCTGCCTCCGATGAAGAGGATGATAAGTCTTCGAAGCGTCACAAACACCGTCACCATCGCCGCCACCACCGCCATCGTCACAGCAGCAGCAGCAAGAACGAAGAAGAAAGCTACCGTGACCAGGAGGATAGTCTTCCTCCTGTTTCTAATCGTAGATCTCGGGTTGAGGATGACGTGGAGGAAGGTGAAATTCTCGAAGAGGATGACTCTGGCGTTCGCGCGATGAAGGAGGCGGATGCGGAATTTGGGAAAGTTGAAGCTGATGGAATTTCCGATAGAACTGACGAACCCTCTATGGTAAGGTTCCAACTAACACAATTGTATGTCAGTTTGACAAGTTGCTTGTTGCTCCACCCATCATTATGTGTGATTGCCCTGAATTTTTGAGAAAAGACTAGGGGAGTTAACGTTTGAAAAATCAAAGGTAATTCTAAGGGTTAGATTCGTTTAGAAAACGATTGCATTTTTAACCGTTTGTAAATAATGAACAAGGACCTTATACAGGTATAGATACTTTTATCCGCTCGTGTCGTTGCCAATTGTGGTTTCCTTTTTTGTATTTAATTTTAGACTATGATGGAGCTTTCATGGTGACGTTTTGTTAGATTTACTCAGTGTTTCTTGCACATGTAAGAATCTGATTGCACCTCACGAACACAAGTGAAATGCAAAAGAAGTTTCAGTAGGCGTTTCAATGAAGATTCAGGCTTGCATTTAATTTGTAAGATCTGGTTACGTGTTTCCTACTATGCATCTATACTGTCTGACTGTAATTTCATAGGGACTTTGCAATACAAGCATCTGCACTAATCATTTAATCTATATCGTGCAGGAATGTCATTCGGTGGATGAATTATCTAATATTGAGGCTAATTTAACTGTGAAAGAGGGAGCTGGAAATAGTCTTCGAGATCTGAAGACTTCAAAAGAGGATGATAAGTTCTCTAATTCAGATAAGGGCAAAGATGGATCTTATCTAAAAAAAGACTTCGACAAGGAAAATATTATGCTCTGTCAAACTGACCTTGGCCGTAAGCATGGCAATGATGTTAGCTTTTCCAGAAATGAAGCTTTTGGAACTAAATACAATGATCGTGAATGTAGCCTAGAGGGTCATAGGAAAGGGAATTTTGATCAAGAATATCTAGAGTTAGATGAGAGGCGGCAGAAACAAATGTTATCTCCTTCCACAGGGGGTAGTAAGAAAATAAGTGACATTGACAATGGAAAGGCGGGGACAGATGGAATCACCTTGGGGAATTTAAAAAGGCGACAGTTGGAAAGGACTGAAGACAAATCCCAGGATTTTACACCATCAACATCTCATGATCGACTTGTTGATGCATCAGATTGTAGGAGTAGATCAAGGTCAAATTGTCACTCTAGAGGGCAATCTCATTCTCATGAAACAGTTGACGAGGAGGCAGAGTCAAAGAGGAGACATCATCATGGTTGGGACCACTCAATATTGGATGATAAAAGTAAAATCCAACATGACCTGGATGATGGTTATACTGAATATGCAAGGGTAGAGGAAAGGCAGCGAAGCAGAGATACAAAAGACAGAGGGAGAAGTAAGATGGAGCTGGATAGGGACTGGTCAAAGGAAATTGAATGGGAAAAGAGAAAAGAGAAAGATAGGGGGATAGATAAGCACAGGTTTGATGAGAGAGAGAAAGGAAGGAGTCGAGAAAGAAGGAGGGAGGTGGAGCGAAATAGGAGCAGGGAAAGAGAGTTGGATAGGGATAGGAGGAGGGAAAGGGAGGTGGAAAGAGATAGGAGAGTGGAGAAGGAAAGAGGTTGGAGTAGGGAAAGAGAGGTAGAAAGGGATAGAAGAATGGACAAGGAAAGGGGTTGGAGCAGGGAAAGAGAGGTGGATAGGGATAGAAGAGTAGAAAAGGAAAGATGTAGGAGCACAGATAGAGAGGCTAATAGAGATAGAAGAAGAGAAAGGGAAAGAGATAGGAGCAAGGATAGAGAGGTGGACTGGGATGGGAGAAGGGATAGGGACAGAGCTCGGAATGATGATAAGGTTGAATATAATGATAGAAATAGAGACAGTGAAAGGGCGAGAGAGATGCAAAAAAACCGATTTAGGGATAAGGAATTGGATAGGGAGAGACGAGACGATAGAAACAAGAATAAATCCAGTGACATTTTAAGTAGTAAGGATAAGTACGGGAATCTTGATCATGACTATGTAAAAACTTCTAGTAAGCAGTCTAGACATAATGAGAATGAATCTGGTCTGAATGGAGGAAGAATTAATGCTACGGAAAAGCATGGTAGTTCGAAGAGAAATGCTCTTGAAGGAGGTGAAGACAAACTAATGAGGTAAACTTTAAACACTTTTCTGGATTTCTTTGTCTAGTTTGGAGCTTTTATCTTCTTATTTTATGGCTCAACTTCTCTTTTTTCATAGTGGTCATGATGAGGAGGAAGATGATGAGGACATGTCATTTCAATTAGCTGATCAAGAAGAGGAGGATCTAAACAGAATCAAGGAGGAGAGTAGAAGAAGAAGGCAAGCAATCTTAGAAAAATACAAATGCCAGCAGTCAGATAAAAAAGTAGAGCCTTCTTTGAAGGAACCTGAGAAAGGTAATTTTCAATTTAACCTTGAATTTAGAAAGTTCTGTATTTACTTGGACTATATTTATTTTCAATTAAGAAATTATGATCAATTAGCAGAGCATCCAATACGTATGGACTTATCCTTGCCAACTTTCTATCCATGGACTTGAGTTCTTATCTGGTACTTAGTTTCCTACTGCATAGCCGTAGCTCTTGATATATAGACATTTCCTACTTTGTAATTACATTTTATCAATGGAATTGTGTTGTATATTGCCGAGTTCTTTGTTCACTATGTTTGTTAATCACTATATTTCTTTGAATATAGTGTGTCTTAGATCTTATACTGTCCCCCCAACCAATGTCAAACCATCTATTGATAGGGAGTTTTATCTTTCCACAAGTAGTCTTGTTTATTTTAAGGATTAGGTTAATTTTTTAGTCCTGCCTGCATGGTTGGTATGCAATGTTGTTGTAGCATATTGAAGAACCTTCAGAGAAATTTAATGAAACTTTGGTTTCATTTTCTGGTTACGGTATCATTCTTTGTCTGCAATCCGGAGCAACTGAGTTTGGTACTTTTTTTTTCCTTCGAGAGTTGAGTTAAAAAATGCTGATAGGGATTTTGGTAGGTCAGCAACTTAGATTGACGATATAGCAACTTAGATTGACGATATAGTAACTTCCTCCGTCTCATGTAAGTACAACAATTCATCTTGACCAGATAAGGATTCTGCAAACGATTCTTCTCAATCAGAAGCTGCTGCTCATACTGCTATTCCAGAATTGGTTGATGGGGTGGATGACAGTGTTGCCGACTCATCTTTTGTTGTGGAGAAATCACCACAACAAAATGGAGTTGCTGCATCTGATAAAACTGCTGGTACTAAAGGACTTGGAGAGGGTACTCCAAAGGTGCGCAGAATGCTCTCTTGTATAGTAGGGTAGATTCCTCTCTTTTTTCTGAATTACTTTTTGAAACTTCAAGACTTCTCTGAGCTCAATATTCTGCATTTCTTGCTTGCTCAGTTATGTTCTTTATTTTTAGCAGATGGGTCATTTTATTTTTAAATTTATTAACATTAATTAGTGCAGGCTGAGGGGTCGGATGGATTATTCTGTGATGATATTTTTGGAGAAACACCTGCTGCAGTTCGTAAAATGGTATGAGAAATTTTTGCAGTTTGGCTTGTGTCCTATTGTATAAGGGCCTTAGGATATTTTCTTTCCTTGTTGGCAGGGTAAAGGAGATGGTTTGCGGATAGAAAGGAGTGGTCTTCATGACAATTGGGATGATGCAGATGGATATTATAGTAAGTATATCAATATCCATCTCACCTGTATGGCTGAGATTTTTAAATGAAATGGTATTCACATGTTATAGAATGATATGTCTAAATATTCATGACAACTGAGATGTGTACAGTGTGATTTATAGTTAAAATGGATGTCACAGATTACATTATGGTATGTTTAAATTTCGACCATACATCTTATTTAATGCAAAAATTATAGACAATCGCAGGAGTGGGATCCTTGGTCTTGCTTTTTAAATTCTAGTTTATTTAGAATCTCAATGCCTTTAGCTTATTTCAAGTTTGCATTTGGGCCTCCAATAGAAAATTGTTATATTTACATTATTTGTGCCTCCTACTCGGTGCTGCCCATTAAAATGAGTGGCTGATGTAAATATATGGATATCTGAAAATCTTGCTGGGATCCGTATTAGGTCTTCTGGTATTCTTTTGAAGTTGTTGACTGGTTAGTTTTGTTCTTTTTCCTGTTACTTTTGCCATTAATGCTTGGAGGGTTTGCAGAAAATGGGTTGTTGCATTGTTTGTGTGACTTTTTTACTGGATTGTTGTGGCCTAGCTCAATGCTGACCTCAATTATGTATTGAGCAGCAGATGAAACTAATTATTTATTTTTATGAATTTGTTTCAAAGTTTTGGGTCCTATACATTTTTTGCACTTGAAAAATGTATTTAATTCATATAGTCATTGCTTATTTAACTTTTGTGTTGAATATAGACTATCGATTTGGTGAAGTACTTGACGGTCGGTATGAAGTTGCTGCTGCCCATGGCAAAGGTGTCTTTTCAACTGTAGTCCGTGCAAAGGATCTCAAAGCTGGTCATGATGAACCAGAAGAAGTGGCAATCAAAATTTTGCGTAGTAATGAAACAATGTATGTCTTCCTTGCTTTATTTCTAGTGATGCTATGCCGGTGTTCATTTTGTTGCATGTACAAGTACTTGATGCTGAGCATACCGTGATATACAGGTACAAGGCTGGTCTGGAGGAGTTGGTCATATTGAAAAAGCTAGTAGGTGCAGATCCAGATGACAAGCGTCACTGTGTTCGTTTTCTTTCAAGTTTCAAATATAGGAATCATCTTTGTTTAGTTTTTGAATCTCTTCATATGAATCTCCGTGAGGTCTTGAAGAAATTTGGGCGCAATATTGGCCTTAAGCTAACTGCTGTGAGGGCATACGCTAAGCAGCTTTTTATTGCCCTGAAGCATTTGAGAAACTGTGGTGTTCTACACTGTGACATAAAGCCGGATAATATGCTGGTAGGTTGTTAAGTTTTAATTCTGTTGAACTGGTTGATCTTATGTTTCTCACAATGTTTGATAAAACTTTCAGGTTAATGAGGGAAAAAATGTGCTGAAGCTTTGTGATTTTGGTAATGCCATGTTTGCTGGTAAAAATGAAATCACCCCATACCTTGTTAGCCGGTTCTATCGTGCCCCAGAAATAAGTAAGTTATTTTAGTACTTTTTCCATATCTGTTGAATCTGGCAATGGAAATAGCAAACCTATTTTTATTTTTTGTTGTGTCTTTTTTACTCCCAAGTAATACAAGTTATTACTTTACTGATTTTACTTTACATGTTGAAGTTCTAGGGCTGTCATATGATCATCCAATGGATATTTGGTCTGTGGGTTGCTGTTTGTACGAGCTTTCTACAGGAAAAGTTCTTTTTCCAGGTCCTTCTAATAATGACATGCTGCGGCTACACATGGAACTAAAGGGCCCTTTTCCGAAGAAGATGCTTCGTAAGGTACGTAGTTTTTGTTCACAAGACGGAAAATTTTTATATAGCAATGTATCTGTAAGTTACAATTTAAAGTTATAACATGTTTCTTGCTCCTGATGATTTATTCCCTCCATCTGGTATTTACAGGGAGCATTTACTGACCAACATTTTGACCAGGACCTGAACTTCCATGCTTCTGAGGAGGATCCTGTAACCAAAAAGGTAGTTGTTAGCCCCTTTCCTGATTTTGGAGCCCAAATCCACACATTTATGAGTGTTGTGTCACAAAACTTTTATTATATATTGCTAATTTGCTGCTATAAATGATCACAATTTTCTTATATTTTCTGGACATCAAAGTTTATTTTTGCTGCTTTTATAGAAAATGTCGTCAGTTTAAAGATTTTTAAATGCTGGATTTTGTGTGTGTGTGTGTGTGTGTTTTTTTGTGTAAATGGTATTACATTTTAATACCATGCTTGCCACCTAAGGCAGTTATTTCATCGATACTGACTGAGGTTTGAATTCTACTTTTTGCAGACCATAAAGCGAATAATAGTCAATATAAAGCCTAAAGATATTGGATCAATTATTAGGGGATCTCCTGGTGAAGATCCAAAGATGTTAGCCAATTTTAAGGATCTTCTGGACAAAATTTTTGTGTTGGATCCAGAAAAAAGGATGACAGTATCACAAGCATTAAATCATCCATTCATCACTGGCAAGTGATCAATGTTGCTGCTTTTATGACACCAGAGCTCAGTAGATTTCTTGTAAATTATGACCTAATTCATAAAGTTTCTAATCACTTGGTATTTCCAGTCTTCTTTATGATGACCTAAGCTTCTGGCACAATTATGGGATGATTGAATTCAGAAGGGGTCATATTGGTCAGGAGTGGCGGGTTCTTTCAGTGGAATGTACTGTTTCTATTGTAAGACAACTTGCTGAAAGCGTTTCTTCCCCTTGTAATCATTCTTGATTATGGCTATTATGAAAATTTTGTTCATACTAGTTTTCCCCATTATTTCTTTCATTTTGTACTTCAAATACCGTGTCTGGAGTTGTGGTTGCAGGGAAATTAGTAAGAAAAAAAAATCTATTAAGTTTTATTATTTCTTTTGTAAATAAAATTTGTTCTTTTTTTTTTTTTGGAAGATGGTTTGTGGATTATGTGCAGTGATTAATTTTCATTTTGATTTTTACTTTAGTACATTTTTTTTGTGTGGTTTTTCTTACCAATATGAGGGCTGGCAAGATATTATCCTCTGCAGTTTCTCTCTTCCCCATCTCTTTCTCTCGAGCCATTTTGTTTCTCACTTTCAGGTTCTCAAGTGTCTAATACAGTTTTTCCTTCAGGATGTCTGCTTCTGCCCTGAGAGAACCTTCCAGTGCTTAAGTGATTTAGAGGCACTCAGGAGAAGGTACCTTATTGTTAAATGAGTATAGTGATCCAGTTCTAATCCATTAATGCTACTGTAAATGTCCACATTTGCCTTATTTAGACATAGGTCAGATTCATGTTTATGAATGACTATTGTCTGTTTTATTATTCAAAATCTAGCAAGTGGAGGTTTCTCGGGGGAGGAGGATATGCTAGCAATTCATAAGGGAATCTTTATTTTCAGTACAATGGGAATTGTTATTTACCATCTCTATATATATATATATTTTATATTAGAGCAGAATCACCTCTTTATATTAATCCATTCATAAAGGTATCTTTAATGTGCATGCAATTGTTATATGTTTTCTAGAATATTTTGAACCATTGATGATTGCGCAACATCTTTGAATGTTGCTTGGCATTATTGATATCATACTAAACTATAGTAGTTTTCAAAATTTATCTGATGTCTTAAGTTGTTTGATTGAAACCTAATGAATTACATTGTGCTGATCCATGCTATGGTCGTTTATGGAGGCACTTGCATTGCAGAGGTTAACTGCTGTGGCACCATATGAAGTAGTGTTGCAGTGAGTGATGCAGTTATATATGTTGTTTTTTTATTCTTATATATGTGAGATTAGAGCCTAGAAGTTTGCTTTTCAAACGGTTTGTTGTCTTGATACGATTTTGTTCTCTTTTTGTAGGGCAAACTTCCTATCATCCATCCTGTCTCTTGTAAGTATTTCCAATTCCATATAACTATTGCACGGTCATATTCTTTCTTATTATTTTTTTAGAAAGAATGCAATGATTCATAACCTTACTTGAACAGGATCTGTTCTATAGAAAGAATGCAATGATTCAAATTTATGGAAGTATTTAGGATAGTACATGCAGTTTCCTTTTGTCGTTGCACAATAATTTGAAGATAATGAAACCATTAAACTAGCAGAGGTCCTGATCCGAAAAAAATTGCATGAATCTGAAAAGCAAAAAATGCATTCTATTTCTGTCCGACTTATGTATGGAAGTTCTTATTTTATCTTATGATTTTTGCATTAATATTTATGTGGGCCTTTGAAATATCTGTGGAAGTGTTACAATGATTTTGGTTTCAAATTATATTACTTCCATGTATTTATCATTAAAATTATTGATCATTCTTCTAAAACAATATTTAATTAGAAATAAGATATATAAGTAAAAGAATTAAGAGGCCATATGTATATCTGTAGAAGAAAAAACTTTCAATTAGAGATGCAAATTTGCAGAAGGATGCTAAGAAGCTTATGCTTGTACTTGAGAAGTTTTATTTTTTGATTATGTTTAATATCATTTAAAATACAATAAAAAATAATGAATGAAATATTCATTGGATAAAATAAGACACTTGAAGAAAGGCCCATTCTAAATAAGCAAGTTCTTAGCGATTCAACATTTCGGAGAAGAGTAGAAGACTGAAAATCAAATGGATCTTGCGACTATATGCCTTTGTGTCTGTTTTGAAGTTTGTTTGATTGTGAAATATTAAAGTTATGATTTATGAACACAATCCAATTAAAGTCTGTTCCTTTGCTGGAGAGTCTTTCTAGTGGTCATTGATGATTACCTCATGGTATGTGCCACTAAAGGTTTACATCCTGTTCATTTCACTATTTGGTTTAGTTAGGTAGATTATATTCAAATCCACTCAATGGATTCACGTCTATTGCCATCATTTTTTTGGGGGGGTATTTGGAGAGGAGGAAGAGAGAAAGAGGAGAGAGAAATGCTACTTAAGCTAAAAGTAGTAAAATTTTCCAACTCGTTTAAACTATACACATGTTAATTGTCACATTATTAGGAGTGAATTCAACTCAAGGAGCAATTAGAAATCAATTTAACTTTAGGGCCAAACGTGTCTTTTTTGAAACTTAATGAAAAAAATCCAATCTTCAAGGACCAAAAATGATGTTTTAAAACTCGGGATGAAATAGAAATCAAGTCCTATAGACTGAAAGTGTATTTTACTTTTCTCTCTATTCCTTTTTTTTTAAGACCTGTACAAATCACAAGAAGGAACAAGCTACAGGCAGGGGAAAAGATAACCCCCTCCCAATATACAGGTAATTGTAAAGAGGGATGCTGAACGAGCATAAGCCATTTCTTGGAATAGGATGAGTTAGAAGCCAATATACTGCATTAATCAATTCTTATGACATTTCTTTGGAATAGAATGAGTTAGAAGCCAATATACTGCACTAATCGCTGTTATAACTTTTTTTTTGGAATAGGATGAATTAGAAGCCAATATACTGCACTAATAATAGTTTTAGCATTTGAATAGGAGTTAGAACCCAAATATACTGCACTAATCATTGTTATAGCACTTCTTGGAATAGAATGAGTTAGAAGCCACTAATCATTGTTATTGCATTTCCTGGAATTTTCTCACATTATGGGCCAGTAAAGTTTTCCATTAGATGTTTGCAAAGTTTATTATAAATTGTTATATTATTAGAAAACCTGTTTTAGAGTATTTAATTTAAAAACATAGGTTCCATTTAAAATCTAGCTCCCTGTCCCTCTAGCTGGGATTGATTTGTTTATTCTCATATTTATACTTGTAATCACACAATGAAATTGTAATTTGATCCATAATTCTGTCTGTATTCTTGGTAGGATATGGGCGTCACCTTATTTATTATTATTTTTTAAAACTTTTTTGGATAAGAACACACATAATATTTTGTTCATGTGTTGAAGACTTGCTTCATGTCTATTCATAAACAAGGCTTGAGGTCGGGTGGATTTATTGGCAGAATTTAAGAACAAGCATCTTGATATTGTTATTCGTGTTCTTTCAAATGTGTTCTATGTGTTTCTTTACAATCAAGTCTAATGGCCTTTTGCTTTTTAGAATCACGTAACCAAATTTGATTTCAAAGGAATTTCCTGGTCATAAATTTGAAGTTTTTATGTGAACATTGGTCTTAATGTTTCACTGCATGACTGTTTGAACTTCTTCAGGATGTGTTGCCAATATGACTTGACATATGGATTTCCATTTTCGTCCTATTTCGATATATATGATTATCAAGTTCTATTTGCTTTCATGTTGTGTGAGCTTTTCCTTGAAAATTTGTTTGTTATTAATATTTGCATCTTCAAAATACTTGTACTCGTATTATGGTTACATCTATATTGGATTGCATTTAAGCTGAGTGGATACACGTGCACTATAAATAGTTTCTGGTGTGATTAATGTCAGAGTTATACAGGCCAACTTGTATCAGTGGCTGTGTTTCCTTTCATCAAGAATCATCTTTGCTTAGTTGTTTTGTTGGCAGCCTGAAGCCTAAGTCACTGTTCCCCTGTTGTTTTACATCTTAAAGATAATGTCTCTTCATCTTAGTCAAGTGTTCATTGAGTATGAGTTGTCTGTCTTCCCACTTTTTTTCTCCAAAGATGATGCGTCTTATGACTGAGTGCAATCAGAAGCATTTCTTGGAGCCATTTTGTGTAGAAATAAATTTCCTGATGCAAGGAACTGTGCGATTCTACCCAGCATAATCTTGATCAGTCTTTGTTCAATAGAATGGATTTCAATTTCTAAAGATTTTATTTGGCCTAGATTGTTCTTTGTGCACCAATCTCGTTATGTCTTATTCCAGAACAGTGAACTGCTGAACGAGCTTGATTAAACGTAGAGACCATAACTTCAAAAAAAGGGAAAAAAAATTGGCGAGATCAAATGATATTGTGATGATATTTCATATTTTGGTACATCTACGAAAGTCATGGGAGAGAAATATGTTCAATCGAGTGAATTTGAAGCAATCTAATTGCTGCAGTTTTCTGGTCAATCTGTGATGGATTTGCCCTTCGTCATCAATGACAATGACATGGGCTCCCATCAAGCTTTAGGTCTTTTGTGTACGTTGATTTTTTTGGTGGTTTAAAGCAAGGGGCAATATCCAAGAAATTTACTGTTATGCGTTAGTTGTCAGAAAAGTCGTTGAGAAAATTCCTGAAACTTGGGTTACACACTCAGAATTGCATTTACAGGAAGACTGGTTGGTATACTTAATCAATCATCTGATCCTTGAAAAATAAAAAGTGAGAAATCTGTCGCCAAAAGCGAATGGTTTGTGTATAATTATTTTAATCGTTCCCACTAATTGAGCTTAGTTTTCCACCTGGGATATGTGAACTCATACGCCGTCTTGGAAAAGCCTACATGTTCTCAACCAGAAGGTTTTAAATGCTGTTTTAGTTCCTATATTGATTTATTTTCATTCTTATACTTTTAGAATGTTCATTTTGATTACTGTGCTTTCATTTTTTGTTCGTTTCAGTCCGAAATCTTTTGTACTTTCAGATCAGCCATTTGGTTCTTGTAATTTTACAAACTGATCATTTGTTTCTTTTTTCAAATTTTTAATACAAATTTTATACATTTACAAAATTATGACTATATTTTAACAAAATTAGTTAGTGAAATATTGTTATTAAAATTTTGATCGAAATAAATAAGATAAAAATTAAATTGAATAAGTCAAAATGGTCACTTTGTATTGAGTACAAGGATAAAGAAATAATGTTTTGGAAGTATTAACAAAAGTTAAAAGTAGAGAAATTAAAATGGACGTGTGGAGAACATATTTAAACATTTTTCTTGAAATATTGGATCAAGGAATAATGTAATTTAGGTATCTTTTAGTCTACATCGTAGTATTGATGGCTTGTTTGACAAGTTGAGCTCTTTCACTTGTCATAAAAGTGGATGAGAAAGTTGGCCCTATTTTTCTTCATTTTCTAAAGTTACCGGAATAGCATAGCATCCATTCTTTTCAATATTTAGTATAGGTTTGGACAATTTTCTTGGAAAAGTAGAAAATCGGAAACTCTCCAATTGGTTCCTAATATACGTGCTAAACAAAAAGTAGCAGTAGATTGGAAGGACCGGTTTCCGCCCGATGTTTACGTTGATGTTGGGCTTTTTTATACACGACAACCGCGTCAAATCTTCCCTTTTTTTCTTACACGTTTCATTCACTTGTAATTATTACGACTTTTTTGTATCATAATTTTGTCCATGCTTCTTTCTACATCTGAAATTGATGCTTCTTATAAAATAAAATTTAAAAAAAAAAACAAAAAAGGTTAAAGTCGTTTGACCATTATAAACTTGATGGTTGATCATTTAGATTTTATTGACTGATGGGAAAATCTCACGCATTAACCAATTACAATAAAGCAAAAGAGTAATTTTAAGTTTTAAACGTATTTTCTCCGCACATGAAAAATGACTATCTAGAAAACCATAAATTATGAACCAATTCAAAATAAGGCAACATGGTAGTTGAGTAGATTATAAAAATTGCATCTTTTCACGGCCTAAAGTCAAGACCTGTACTTTAATGGTCCTTTTGCGTTCCACCTGGCGTCCACGTGGCTCACACCATATATCCCATTTTGACGTGGCTGTGTATTTTAAGCCCTCTGTCCCTCAGAGAAGTAGCCAGCGTTCTCTCCCCCCATTGCTCCTCCATATCAAAGCTTTGTCATCAGAAGAAGAAATTGTTCAGATGGGAAAGAAGCTTGATGCGTTGCTTGGAAGAAGCTTCAAGACCACCAGGTGCAGAGCTCTTGTCAATTTGGCCATCTCTCGCCTCGCTGTGCTTGCAAACCAGCGCCAGGTGAGGTCCTCTCAGGCTCACTCTGATGTTATTCAGTTACTAAAGCTCGGCCACCAGGAGAGAGCCCTCTTTCGTGTAAGATCAATTCCTCTTCATTCTTCTGGTTTGGGCTTCATAACTTGCTCTTCACAAACTAAGAGCTGTTGTTGTCTTTTGACAGGTCGAGCAGGTGATCAAGGAGCAGAAACTGCTGGATGCTTATGCCATAATAGAGAGTTACTGCGAGGTTGTAGCAGAAAGAATCAAGCTCCTTGAAAAAGAGAGGTTGGAACTTGCAAACGTTTACACCCTTTGGTTTCTTGCCTGTAAAGACAGACGGATCTTGATTCTGATGGTTTTGTTTTGACCATGTAGAGAATGTCCAGAGGAACTGAAGGAGCCAATATCTGGTTTGATCTTTGCATCTTCTAGATGTGGGGATTTCCCAGAGCTTCTTGAGATTCGTTCAGTCATTACCAGTCGTTTTGGCAAGGAGTTTACTGCTCGAGCTATTGAGTTACGCAACAATTGTGCTGTGAGTCCAATGGTATGGCTATGCTTTATGCTTCGATCATTTCACTTTAAGCAGTGGAGCTTGCTTTTACATGGCCCATTTTCCCTTACTGTTTTCACTGTATGATGGGGTAAAACCTTGGGTTTTTCAGATAGTGCAGAAGCTATCAGTGAGGCCACCAAGCTTGGAGATTAAATTGAAGTTACTAAAACAAATTGCTTCTGAGAACGGCATTACTTTGAAAAATTTGGAAGATTATGGAGTTCCAACTGAGGTACGCCATATAATAATCAATGAGATGGTAGCTCGTCCATTATGTTGGGAAATTTTTGAAAATTTACATGTTTGAGTTATGGCCTGCCTACAAAATAGGTGCAGAAAAAAGTTGAGGTAGAAGAGAAGCAGGAACAGCCACAGCAGGAAACCAAAGAGGAAGGGGTGTTGCAGAGTTTACCTGAAGAGATAGAGAAAGACGATCGGTACGCTGATTCAATGAGAGGAAGAAAGAAGTACAAGGACGTGGCAGACGCTGCTCAGGCAGCTTTCGAGTCAGCTGCTTATGCGGCGGTTGCGGCGAGAGCTGCCGTGGAACTCGCTCAATCTAAATCACTCGATCGTGATGATCCGAGTAGTCTGAGTCCACGACCAAGAAGATCATCTGAAACTCAAGAATCCAAGAACACTGAGATTGAATTAGAATCAGAAAACAAGGAAACACTCGGTGGAAGCACTTCTATAGAAGTAGAGGAGAGTGAAAATGCAATAGAATTGAAGCAGCCAGTGTCATCTTCTAGTTCGGAATCAGGGGATGCTAGTTCAAAGGAAAATGAGATTCCAATTGAAGCAATAAATGTAATCGAACTGCTGGAGAAGGATTTGGTTTTTGACGAGAGTGATGTTGATACTGGGAATGGAGAAAGCATCAGTCCAACATTTGAGGAGATAAATTCGAGCATCCAGTGTCGTGAGAAGATGGAATCAGAGTCTGCAGAGATCACAACACACATTGAGGAATCTGATAACAAGAATACTACACAAAATCTAAGCATAGGGGGGAATGAGGCTGTTTTAAGGACCATAGAAGTGCGTGGACACTGAAGAGCTTGAATCTTTTGTATCTTGGCGCCTGTTTAAAGCTAATAAATTTTGGGAGTGTAGGAATTATTTATTTGAAGAACCTTGAGCTGATCTAGTGTGTAGACATTTAAGTTGCAGAGTATTGATTCTTAATGTATTGAAATATTTGGCATTTATTTTCTCTGTCCCTTCCCTGAAGGCATACTACACCTTTTTCTGATGCATCTATTCATCTCAATTATATTTGTACGATCTTCAGCTTATCCATCTCAAGCATAGAACATAAAGTTTCAGATTATGAAACCTTTGTTAGGCATCAGATGAAGCTAAAGGCTAATGCATAAACCTAGTTCAGATTATGAATATTTCTCTTATAGTTCATATACAACAGGAGAAACCATTACCACTTTCATTGAACAAACATTATTCGTTTAGTTCACAGTTCAACCAATTTTGGGAAAGATCTCCGTGGTTTCCTGATTTAACAATTCAAGAACCTCACTAACCAAGTAAATATGAAAATATGGTAAAAGGCCATTCAAGAAAATTTATGAGTGTCAAGCATGGCAATTTCTTTTACTGAGCATTACAGTAAATAAATGGTACCTTCAACTTAGCATTAATTGACGAAAAGAAACTTGGTAAGTATTCATGATACAAAAGCCAAGAACTAAGCGGACAGAATCTACCTGTATTGCCTTTATGCAGGACTGAATAAAGAAAAGAAATATAAGCAAATAATTCTTCTTCTTTTATCTTTTGTTGGACGCCCCACTTCATGGCATCACTCACTTTCCCCTGGGCCGTTTTCGATTTTGTGGTAACATGTCGCTGAATGACTGAAAATTCACGCCTACATCTTCATCATATTCGATGCCAAGTTCTTCCTGCAAGAATACAAAGAATTTAACCACAACTTCAATAAAATCAGGCAGAGCCAAATAATCAGAGAGAACCTTGAATTCTTTGAGATCCTTAGGTGAGTTCTCAGTGATAGCATCCCATATATCTTTGAACATCTTTTTTCGCTTTCGCCACTGGCTTAATTTCTCCGAGTATATATGCTCGATTGCTTTTCGCTCTTCTGGTCTCACCAGTGTAACACCTCCGCGTAATATTTTCAATTTGTCTTCCAATTCCTTAACCTAATAACATGTTTCAGAAAAGCTATTTTATGAAACATTAACAACAGATAGAGAAGGTAACATTTTGAATCACTAATCAGCACAAAGTTCAGTTACAACTATCTGATTTAGCATCTATATACCTCCTTTCTAAGCATGGCTTCTTTTTCTCGCATCTGTTCCAGCGTTAAATTTGACTGCAATGTTCGAATTTCTGTTACAGAAGTTCATGGCACTATCATTTTGACATTCTCCAAATTCCTATACCGCAATTCAAAAGGCTCAAGTGATACTGATTTCTTTGAACTTCACATGTGGGATTACCTTCCTCAACCTGGCCAATAGCTCTTTTTTGCTCGTCCAGATGTTGCTGCAGTTTGGCGTTTGCTTCCTTCATCTGAGTAAGTTCCTCGCCGTTTGGGATCTTGAATTGGTCTTGCCGGGCGAGATATATCTTCTGCTTCCCATACTCCTTGAAAGAAATCCGTCCACTATCGGCAAGAGTATCCAGTGCCTTCTGCACCGCGGTCTTCTTGAGGTTGAACTTTTGTAACGAATCAGCGACATTTTGAACGTTTAGTGGACGATTTTGCTGAACAGAAGAGAAATGCGCCAAATGCCGTTAAACAGAAAAGCCCAAAATAGCTCTCCAGAGGATAAAAGTGATAGTAGGGCTGCATGAGAGTTGCATAATGAAGTGCAATTGCAAACGCACACGACAGCGAAATGGAGGTCCACCGAAACAAATACAAAGTTCTTAACGGTGTATATTTGCCGAGCACACAAATGACGAAGACGGATGTTCTTCTATATACAAATAATAATTTGATTACAGCTAAACAACAGGAAGGTAGAACTTAGAAGTACAACACAGCGTAAAAGCCTACAATCTTCACTGCAGTTATCGAGAAAGGGGGAAAACTAAACTCCACTAATTCGAAGAATGGGAATTAAACCAGTGAATCCGGCTTTAGTGCAAACGGATAATATATGAACAATCAAATCAGTGAAGCGCAGTGATGAAACAAATACCTCATTTACGAAGTTGAGCACGATCGCTGCAAATTTTAGAAACGGATAAAATCAGGTTAGAACTTAATTTCTACGCTGAATACATCATAAATTCAAAATTGAAACCAAAATCACAATCACGAATTCATTTTAGCAAAAATTTTAGAAGATCGAGACGAGTTTTCACCTTCTGCGCTGTCGGACTTGGGAGCCATTGATCGGTAAAGTGCCGAGAAATGAGCGGGAAACTTTGCTCAGGGTTTTCCCTCGTTTCTTGAGGAAGCTAAGTGTAAAATATGTAAATGAATTTTTTTGGTTCACAGCCCGCGGTTTCAAATTGTATTTAAAAAATATTTTGTTTTTCCAGAACAAAAATCAATCAGAATATGTTTATTTAATTATTTAATAATAAAAATATCTGTATCATCGTGATTAAATTTTATCTAAAAATAGTCGAATTCTGTTTCTACGTTATATATTTTTTTTTTAATATGAATTAAAATAATTTGTGAATTTACTCCAATTATAATAAATAAATAAAAATTAAATTAAAGAATTCCAATCATAGAAAAATTGTAGCAATTTTAATTATACAATAACATTTTCTTTTCATAAAAGAACTTGAAACATCTGCAAGAAAAATAAATAGCTATTATGCTCTATTACACAATATATAATATTTAGAAAAATGTAATTGAGATAAGACGAATAAACAAATTAATATAATAAACAACAACAATTTTGTATACAAAATAGAATAAATAGTTTTATAAATTTATAGTTGTATGAATTAAGAATGTTGTGAAATTATTAAAATTAATAAAATTTTCAAATTTTTCAAATTTAATTATTTAAATCGGAAGTAATGTCATAAATGTTATAATTAATGTCTGTAAGTAAGTTGCTAAATTTGTTTGTATTTAACATTTTCATATTATAACAATTTACATTATTGATTCAAGATTTAAAAAAAAAAAATTATTTAACTGTATCAAAATTTCAAAAAATTTTAAATTATTTCATTGATATTCGTGAGTGTTCAGGCCAACTCAGTGCACCTCAACTAACGTGTTGAAAAACACATAAGAATTATTAATTCGATCATCCTAGGATTTTAACTCATTCCCTCTTAATTAAAGACCAACGAGCCACCCATAATGGTTTTAAATTATATTATTACTAATCATCACAAGTGGCTCATTGATCCAAAGGAACTTGGGTTAATTGCGAGAATTAGTTTAAACTCCATAACGACCAACTACCTTCAATTTTCCAACATCAAATATTGCATGACAAACCGTTGTCATGCAATGTTTGTTTTTAAACAAAATTTGTCCAGATACCCCATAATTACATTCAGCTCTCAATCGTGTGTACTTCCTAAAATTTTGTTTATTTCAAGTTAATTTAATAGTTTTTTTTTTAACAAATGTATTAGCAATCACTGGCAGAAAGTTGCCAAAAAATAAATCCATGAAATCTGAACTGCGAATCAACTCCACATGCAACGAAAAAACCATCTATATAACCTGCTATTAAGTATTGATTAACAACTCTATACTTGGTACTTTTCCACACAATTAAATCAATTATCAATCAGATTGGATCACCGAAAACTTTTATATGATTGGTTTTAGTACTCGGATCTCCTGTCAAAATAATTTAACAATGGTTATTAATATATGCCTATTTGTATAAAATGCAATAAAACAATTTGTTATGATCTCTACAAATAAAATTAAAAAAACCAAATACAAACCTTTATTAAAACTCGAAATAAAATAAAATAAAACAACTCAATTTAAGTTGAATTAAATTTTAAAAATAATTAAGAGGCAGGGAATGTGTCTCTTTCGAAGACGTGTTACTCTTGGATTAATTTAAATATATAAAAAAAGTTGTCAATAGTCAGAAGTGAGCCGTGTCACGTTGCACGAGCGGAATCGATCATTCACTTCATTTTTTAGTAACCGATCCTAAAGATGATATTACGCATATATTATCGAACCTAGTTGAATCGGATCATGCAAGGATCCTAATAAAGGGAATCTCTTAATCGTTTCGTCCCTCACGAATAATACAAGCTAAATATTATCTCAATCACAATACCAGACAATATATGCTAACTAATTTCTTGTTCCAATTAAAACAAAAATAAATCAAATTGGAACTATGCTCAAAAAGTAGATAAACCAATGTAAACCTCAAGCAACAAGAACAATAAAATATAGGGAAAAGAAATCGACACCAGATTTATACCGGTTCACCCAATGTGGGCTACGTCTGGTTCTCTGTTACCGTTGCAGGTTCCACTACAAACACTCTACAATGATTTCTCTCACTTTTTTCTCAAAAAAAATGCTCACAAATCACTCTTACAAACTTTTGAAACTCTTCAAGGGAGATTCAACATAAAATTTCTCACAAAAATTTCACTCACATAATTCTTAATAAAACCCTCACAGAAACCCCGCAAAGAAGATTACCTCTGTATAAAAATATCACTCAAAACACTATCTCTCTTGGATTGTTAACAGGATAAAACTTTCCCCGTGAAGATCCATAATGAAGCTCTTCCTGAATTTATACGTGATCCAATAACATATAAATAACTGAATTTTTTAATTTGGTATAATTCTGATGTGATCCACTTATCTATATGTTATTTGACTCCGTTCTTTTAACACTTGCTAGCTTCTAAATACTGATACACCCATTTTTTAATTTATTTATGAAACCACACTCTCCTTGTCCCAAATTTCCTTGTAAGATCACTTAGTTTTATCTTTTAACTTTATACAAAATGTTTTTTTTATAAATTATATCTAATTTTGAGCTTGTCTTTAGACGTTGTTAAGTCTTAAATTAGGCTGCCTTTGATTATTAGTAAGCTTACTAGTGTTTTGTTATGTCTTCGAGATTATTCAAACGCCCTTGATTTAATGGAAACACCAGAGCTCATTCCATAATTATTTTGCTCTCTCCATAATTTGATGTTTTTTAATTTGTGACGTCATGTTCGAATCTATAACACTGTAGGTTAGAAAACAAAATTTAATTAGTTGTTATTGACAGAGAATTATATTGTTTTTAATAACTTTGGATGCAAAAAATTATATTATTTTGTGGTTTGCAATGTGTAATTTCCTTCTCCGATGCAGAATATTTGTTTGATAATTGAGATTGCGTCGAGAGGGCGTTTCAGAATAATAATTGGCATAAAAATGGCCACAGAAAAAGCAGTCCATTTTGGCGGTGGGAAAATCGGGGCCAAATTAATTGACAGGAAAATCAATCCATCATGCCATAAATGATGTTAAACTAAATGATTTAAACAGATGAATTACGAGGGGCCGAAGGATAAGATATTATATCTGTTTGTTGTTCTTCTTCTTCTTAATTATTTTCTTTAATTTTGACATAGACAGGCAGTTTGGTGAATGACGTATATGAGCACGAAGAGCATGAACTCTTGCCTATAAATAAGGAGGGAAAGAAAAATAAAGATTCAATTATTCAGTTCATTATTATTATTATTGTTTACTTAACGAACTTGAAAAAAAAACTTATGTATATAATTGTTTATCTATGATTCTAAGGAGTGCATACTGTGGATAATGTTAACCAAATAACACAGTAACATATTTATTAATTAGACGTTAGCGAGTGAAAGATTATGATCTACCTTACAAGGTAAATGAAGTTTTGATTTTCAAACTTTACAAATACTATTGACCGCTAAACAAGAAAAGAAATAAAAAGAGAGATGTGTGGTGTAGATTAGAATCACAAGACGTTTACATTACTCTTATTAATATTTAATACTACATTCTTTTATGTAGGGTTTAAAACAAAAAACATCTAAAATACCTCATTTACTTGCCGTACGGACATCTCAAGATACTCAGATAGTTTACCTTCCTCCCAAATAAACTGGCTTTTATTGACCTGGTACAGAAACTATTTGATAAATCATTTTCCATGCCAACTTTATCAAAAGATATTAGAAAATTTGAATACATAATTTAATTTTTAAAATATTAAAAGCTAAATTAAAGAATACTTAAAACATTAGAAAGAAAAAAGGATAATGAATCATTCTGACTTAATTTATAAATATTTAAAATTACGAAATCAACTCTGAAAAATTTGATGGCAAAAGTGATGGCCAGCACGGCAGCACATAAGGCAAAAGTAAATGTTGAATGGCGACATACATCCACTTGAAAAACAGCATGCAATGGACATGTGGAGGAAGAAAGGGATGGGAATAGGAATACGATAACATGAATTGAATGGGGCAAACGGTAATTTCCAGTCAGCCGACCATATCTCGTCCGACAATAATGGTTGCGATCCGGAGATACGTGCGGTGTTTGCCTTGTTCATTTGTTCCTGTTGCGGAACGAGGAACCAACGACGATGTCCCGCCCGCTGCCGCGCCCAATTTGGAATTTTAGAATATTGCAAAATTATTGCTGCTTCTACCGCCCCTCACACTCACATGCCCATGTCTAATCCCCGCCTCCGTCGATATCATTTATCTACGACACGTCGTTTAATCTCTGACGTTAACTGTTTAAGTCATGACGTGCCACTCATTATACGCCCCTCCATTATTGATCATTTTTTCTTTTATAATCCCCTCGTTGTAATCTTTATTACATCTTTACAATTGCGGTGTTAATATTTATATTTAAATAATAATTTCTATTTTTTTATTTTATATTTGTGCTTCTAAAATGTGAATTTTTAGTAATATAATTTTAACTTTGCCTCATTTTAGTCTATATATTTTCAAAATATCTGTTTTGATCCATATATTTCTAAAAATAACAATTTTAGTATTTATTGATAAAATTTTAACAAAGATTTTATATGAATACGATTCAAAAAATTTGATAGGTGAAATATCGTAAAATAATTTTGATCAAAATAAATGAGATATAAATAAAAGCGAATTAACAAAAATTATCGCCTTTAAAATATTTAAGGGCCAAAACGAACCTTTCTAAAATATTGGACTAAAATGAACAAACGTTAAATGTATAGATGTTTAAATGGACGTTTTGAAAGTATATAAAATTGGAAATTATATTGAAACCAAAGTAATATTTCAACTTAATATTTAATATCGAGGGCTTAGTTATCGTTGTTATGTCATCGTACTATCTCTAACTTTATCGACGTGGATTTGACAAATTTTTGTGTGTTTCAGAAAAATAACTGGACGATGATGATATTAAAATTGGAAACTAATTTTTAAAACTTGATATTGACGTGTCTATTGGATGAGATGAATGTTGT